AATCGGCACAATATGCATCAGATAGTGGAGGTATTTTACTCTACAATAAAATTCAAGTTAGACAGTAAAAACTATTGAATTCTGCATAAAAAGAGCTCAAATAACATATTTAGTTGGTGTTTGACATTTTTTGCTTATCTCAATGTATGAGAACCAAATAAATAAAAAATAAAAATGTTCTGTTAATTTAGCTACTTTTCTGTTGAAAACACTTTGTATGGAAGCCCAGAAGAGGCAAAATTACATAAATATATCACTGATTAAATGAACTATAAAATAAATAAATGTTTTAATACTGGATGGAAACCATTATAATTAATAAAATATGCATTTAAACATTTCATAGTTCCTGTTCCTGGGTCACTTTGAGGAGCGAGTTAATTATCTGTACTAGATATTGTAATTGATTACATTTGAATTATTTTAATAAGTGACATATTTAATAAATTAATTGTCCATTAAACACATGTTTGTTGGTACTTTTAATGAATTATTTAAAAGGTGTATTTATAAAATTTTGTCCCTTTTCACCCTCCATACATTCATTAACTCAATGTTATCATACTGCAAGAAATTCTTGCCACTTTTATTTATTGTGATCTTTACAAAATAGTTAAAATGGAGAGAGAGAGAAAAATCAGGTCCTGATCGGTTTGAGTTGGTTAGTCTGGAAATCGGTACCAGAAAAAAACCGATCGGTGCATCTCCAGAGAAAATCCAAAAACTTTTCTCTCCAAGAAGAAAAAACAAGTTTCCTGCCTTTGCAGCTCAAAGTCCAGCCCACTGAGCCGTAACTGGAAAACATTTGCATGGCACCTGCAGGATAATTTGTTCAATCAGCGACAAACACCATATGACTTCAAACATAATCCTGCTTAACCCGCAGCAGCGCTTCACCAGACTGACCCTCTGCTCGCTGCACCACCACAAATTCAACTTTCAGGGAATTAAACCAAAGACGTCGCAGACTAAAACACGACGACACTGCCTCACATTTCACAAATTAACATGCATTCACCAAAATAAATGGACTTCAGCTCACCAGAAGCCAAGTGTCTCCCAGGCTGCTCCTCTTCTTCTTCTTCTCCGGATTGAATTAAACTCCTCCGGCCGTTTTAAAGCACCAGCTGCTCAGTGACTGGAGCAATAAATCCCCACAAACCCAAACTAGAGTTAAACTTTGTCCCGGCGGGTCTGCGTCCCGTCTGCAGCAGAACCAGCAGCTTCTTTGTACTGTCCGCTCGGCTCGGTGGGTCGGTCTGCTCCGCCGCGAGGTGAGCCACGCACATGCGCAGTGGCGGCTCGGCTGAGCACGATGGGCGGAATGAAGGTCAGTCAATCAGGAACGCAGGTGTAGCTTACCTGTCGACAGCGTGGCCTACTTTTACTGACTGGGCCATGAAGTAATGAAGAGCTTAACCGGACTATTTACTACCCCCCGGGTTAATTGCTGAATAACTCCGCGCCGACCAGGTGATGCGTTCAGTTTAACTTTAACTTAACTCCTGTGCAAGACGTTGTTGATTAACAGACAATGTAATACATTTTGTAACACAAAACACAATTGAACCAAAGAAAATACTTTTCACTACTTTCAATTACCTGGCAACAAGGCCACCGCAGGACGCGTTTCTCCTCCGCATTGTAATATAGTTCCCAGAACGTTAAACTTATTTAAACTTATCGAGCGGATTCATTTTGGCGGATTGATATCAAGGTTTATATATTTTTCTGACCGGGACTAAATTCCCTCCTGAAACAAATTTTATTGTTTTTCCCCCATTATCCCATAAAATAATGATAATAAAAAAGTCCCATTGAAGTAAATGTTGCTATACATAAAACATGATATGCTGGGATATTAGAGATAAACGCTGATGTTCCAAACTGAAGTGAACTGACGGCGCCATCTTGTGGAGGTTTTATTTCATTTACGAAGGTAAAACTTTAAAACACACTGACTTGAACATCTTGTTATAACTAACTTTACATCATTATAACTAACTTTATATCATAATAAGTTGTTATAACTAGCATTTATCCTTTGAAGTTTTGTTTTGTACTAACTTCAAAAGTCACATTGTTATGTATTTAAGTTTAATAACATTTACTGAAAGGCTGCTTGATTGGGATGCATGGGTTTTATTTCTCTAAAATTGTCATAAAAACTCTGCATTTTGAATTTTCTAAGGTTGGATTTCAAAATGTGTTTGATCGTTTGTCAAACTTATGGCCCAGGGGCCAAATCCGGCCCGCTTGTTTTTCTACATGGCCCTGCAGACGTGAAAAGGCCAACTGAGTAAAGTTATTGTTTATTGTTATATGCTTTTAATTTGGTAACTTTCCTAAGCATGCTATGGCGATAGAATACAGTTCAGTCTGCAAATGTTAACTGCAATGCAGAAAAAAGGACATGAAGCATCTCTATCTTGGCTTGAGCCAATAAGAGAACAAGGTGAGTAACTTGAATTGAAGTTTATTTGAATAACTTGAAAAGCTGACAGAAAAATCTGAACGTTTGTATTAATGGAGAAAATGTATATAATGGATGCTAAATAACAACAGAAGGTGAAAACAATTGTAATTATTATTAATTGTTCTTGTCTTGCTTTTATGTTGATGAAAGTTATGATTTATTATTACTTTAATAAATCATAATTCAACCATCAGTGTGATAGCAACTTAACATCATTGTGAAAATACGATCCATATTTTTTTTTACTTTAAAAAATAGTAATTGAATGTAGAGAGAATTATTTATAATATTTAACAGTTTGTCAATGTTTTATCACATTCTGTCAGTTTGACATCCCTGAGTTAAATGATATCACTGATACTTTTACTGCTATTCTGTGGTGAAATCTCGTGCAATTATTCCATAAAAAAGCTGAAAAACTCCTGCTATGTGCAATTTAAATGTTTGTATTTCAAAACATTTATTGACTCTGAATCATTTTTAACAAAACTTATCAAGAACCGTCATGGAAAGTCTGAAGAGCCGAACAGTAGGCATTTATCATTTATTATAATAAACTTCTTAGCAAAATAAGACTTTTGAATTATTGGTTCAATAAATGGATTGATTTACTATTTCCTCTGCTGTTCATTCAAAAGACTTTTTTTTTTCCAAATCAGTTTCTTCCAATTTAAAACTTAGGAAACTTTAACAAAAACTGCAGGTGTGTGTCTGTTTCTGGTAAAATTCTGGTTAAAACATGTTTAAAAATCCAGTAAATCTGAAATGATATGATATGAAATGATATTTCTCAGGTAAAAGTAAAAAGTACAGCGTAGTAAAATATTTCCTGCCCAAAAATCCTTCCTATAAGAACCTCAGCTTCACTAACATGTTTAAATATCCATCAGGTGAGTCTGTGAGAGGGAGACCAGTTTATTGAAATCAATCTCTGATTATTTGTTGTTTTCTGTGAACAAACACAAAGATTACACCATATTGTAGTCATGGTAACACAACAATCAAACTTTTACAAAGAAAACTTCTTAATTAAATCCTAATTGTACTTTTTTTTCTCAGCTGAATGTATTAAATAAAATGTAATAACGTTGCCATTCGCTATAAATGGATGCTACAGGTTTAGATCTGTGGTCTGTGTTACAAATGAACCATTTCTGGGGCCCCTGAATGTCTGGGGTCCCTGAATGTCTGGGGTCCCTGAATGTCTGGAGGCCCCTGAATGTCTGGGGCCTCTGAATGTCTGGGGCCCCTGAATGTCTGGGGCCCCTGAATGTCTGGAGCCCCTGAATGTCTGGGGCCCCTGAATGTCTGGGGCCCCTGAATGTCTGGGGCCCCTTAATGTCTGGAGGCCCCTGAATGTCTGGGGCCTCTGAATGTCTGGGGTCCCTGAATGTCTGGGGCCCCTGAATGTCTGGGGCCCCTGAATGTCTGGAGGCCCCTGAATGTCTGGAGGCCCCTTAATGTCTGGAGGCCCCTGAATGTCTGGGGTCCCTGAATGTCTGGGGTCCCTGAATGTCTGGGGTCCCTGAATGTCTGGGGTCCCTGAATGTCTGGAGGCCCCTGAATGTCTGGAGCCCCTGAATGTCTGGAGGCCCCTGAATGTCTGGGGTCCCTGAATGTCTGGAGGCCCCTGAATGTCTGGGGTCCCTGAATGTCTGGAGGCCCCTGAATGTCTGGGGCCTCTGAATGTCTGGAGGCCCCTGAATGTCTGGGGCCTCTGAATGGCCCCGACCAGCAGCTACTGAGTTTTCTTTGCCTTGGTATCCCAGTCTTACTATTCTAGATCTCAGAACATCAAAAGGTTATTTGGCGTTAACCCCTTTGAGCTTTTTGATCTATAAATCATCTGCAGCCAAGTTGTTCTAGAGGTTAAATAAATGTCATCAGGGCTTAATTAGTAAAATGGCAGCAAATTTGCTTATTTCATAGCTTCATAACCTTTGACCTTCTCTCCTCTGGTCTGTTTAACGGTCTCAGATCAACTCAGGCCTCCAGGACCGTCAGCAGAAACAGAAACTTTATTCCTGTTGGGGAAAATATAAACATTTGCTTTGCATTGTCCCAGATGATGCAGCAGGATCCAGTTAAATTCTGATCCAATGCAGGTTGTTGCTTGTTGTTGTTCGGTGTTTTAAGATCTTGTTCAATGTGCCTTTTTTAACTCTGAGCCCCTGCCCCTCCAAAGGTCTCTGCACGGCCCTGTCGCACAGGGTGGAGGCTTTCATAGATCATCTGTCTAATATTATCCTGACTATTTCAACAAATATGTAAAAGGAAAAAAGCATCAACACATTTTTGTATAAATTTCATCCGGCAGCTTTAGGTCTCTTGCAAAAGATTCTTGCAGCCAAACTTGCGCAGCTTCTTTTGTTCCGGTCACTCTCCTCTGCTGATAGTTTATCAGCTTGTGACTTGCAGACAGACAGTTTTGCACAATGCGGATCGGTGTTCCCGCCCGGGCCACTCCTCTCTCTCACGCAGCCCCGGATTGGCCCCGCATTTCTCACAGGTCCCGCCTCGCAGCGCATTTAAGTTCTGCAGCGTTTCCTCCAACTTCTGCTGCCACCATGTCTGACCGGGGAACCTTCGACACCAACGTGGTCACCATGACCCGCTTCGTGATGGAGGAGGGCAGGAAGGCGAAGGGCACCGGGGAGCTGACCACGCTGCTCAACTCGCTGGGCACGGCGGTGAAGGCCATCTCCAGCGCGGTGCGCAAAGCTGGGATCGCCCATCTGTGAGTTCACCGAGTCAAACACGCAGTTTTATCTGTAGAAACTGCCGCACATTTTGCGCTTTCTGCGGCTGTTTTGTGTGCTTTTGTTCGCTGCGTTCACATCCACGTTGACACACTGGCTGAGCAGGAGACTCAGGTTGTTTGCGCACCAATCAGGAAGCGCAAACCTCCAGGGGACCCGCACACACGTTCAGCAAACATCCAATCTGCCTGTTTCAAGACACCAAATCCCTGCTTTTGCATCCATTTTCCTCACTAACAAGCTAGAAATGAAACTTCAGCCACAACAATTCAATTTTCTTCTGATTGAAAGAAACAAAGAACCTTCTGTTCTGTTGCAAGTCCAGTTTTAGTTTTAAAAATGGGACAGCAGGGATTAGTGGAGGTGGGTGGAGTGCACAAAACATGCACACAAACAAGTAAGAGCAGCAAATCTTCCACATATTTCTACTCAAGTAAAAGTAGAAAGTAGCTGTGCAGGAAATCACTCAACTAAGAGAGCAAGAGTTTCCAGTAAAAAGTCCCTCAAGTAGTGAGAGATTTAAAAATTACATCATCAGATGGACCAAAATATAAAGTTAAGTGGAGATTTTGGTATTTTAAGGACCAAAGTGACAATAATTCATATAATAACAACAAAACAGGCAAAAGAAAATAAGTTTTTTTTAATAAACACTGATGCAACTTTAACAAAAGCTGCAGGTGTTTGTCTGTGTCTGTTTGGTTAAAACATGTTTGTTTTTCATTCAGTGGGTAGAAAATCCAGAAATTTTATTTTACTAAGAGTAGAGATGCTTCATAATAAAATTACTCAAGTAAAAGTAAAAAGTGCAGTGTAGTAAAAAAGATGCATAAGTAAATGTAATTGAGTAAATATAACCTGTTACTATGAAAGTCTGTGTATTAATGAACATTTACATGAATAATACTAAAATCTACGACTGCATTCAGTTTAGTACAGTTTGTGAGACGTTTGTCAGTAATAATAGCAGCGAAGCATCTGCTCAGTGTTGTCCTTCTCTTTGTGTCTTTATCAGTTATGGGATTGCAGGTAACACCAACGTGACGGGTGACCAGGTGAAGAAGCTGGACATCCTGTCCAATGACCTGGTCATCAACATGCTCAAGTCGTCTTTCACCTCCTGCGTTCTGGTGTCCGAAGAGAACGAAGAGGCCATCATCGTGGAGCCCGAACAACGGGTCCGAATTTATGTCCAATAAAACATAATGACGCAAACTAACTGTAGATTAATGCAGACAAATCTGACCACTTCTCCGTGTAGCTGGTAGCTCTACATTTAGAAAATATGTAAATGCAAAACAAAAGCAATAAAAATGTAAATTTGAGGAAACCATTTGAGATGTGGTTTGTAAATAAAAAAATCATCCTGCTGTAAACAAGTAATGATATTCATTTAATGTCTTTTCTGGTTCTTTTTCAGGGAAAATACGTCGTTTGCTTTGATCCTCTGGATGGCTCCTCAAACATCGACTGCCTCGTCTCCATTGGGACAATATTTGGCATCTACAGAAAGGTAGCAGCAAAACGTTCAACTCTGGCATTGATGCACTTTTTTCAGAAAAAGATCAACTGAAGACAACAAACTTCCAGTTACTGACACCATGTGATTCCCAGACCACAGATGACGAGCCATCTGAGAAGGACGCTCTGCAGCCGGGCAGGAACCTGGTGGCGGCGGGATACGCGCTCTACGGCAGCGCCACCATGATCGTTCTCTCCACCGGACAGGGAGTCAACGGCTTCATGCTCGACCCAGTCGGTACTCCGTTTGGCTCTCATTTACACCAACTGCTGCTAATCACTGACGGCCTTCTTCACGTTTTGCTCAACAGGCCATCGGCGAATTCATCCTCGTCGAGCACGACGTGAAAATCAAGAAACGGGGGAAGATTTACAGTCTGAATGAAGGCTATGCTAAGTATTTTGATCCGGCTGTCACAGAGTACCTGCAGAGGAAGAAGTTTCCTGAGGTAACATGATGATTTTTTAGGAAATGTTTCATGTGTTCCTCGTGTGACCCGTGAACACTTCATGTCCTTGTAGGACGGCAGTGAGCCGTACGGCGCGCGCTACATCGGATCGATGGTGGCCGACGTCCACCGGACGCTGATGTACGGAGGAATCTTTTTATACCCAGGAAATGTGAAAAGCCCCAAAGGAAAGGTGAGATCCAGATGAAACTCAGAGATGAAACGAGTTGCAACTCTTTTAAAGAGGACACAAAAACTTTAGGATGATTTCTTTGTTCGCTTGCACCCTTCGAACAACTACCCAGATCCCAGTTTGTTGGCAACAACAATTAGTTTTTGCACAATTTGTCTCGACTCTGACTTGACCAACATGTCAAGCTGTTCTGTCACAATGTTGTTTCTTCATTTTGCACATCCTTCTTCATTTTTAAAAAACTGAACGGAGTCTTTTAAAAAATGTTAAAGTTTTTCTGCGAGGGCAGAGAAACTTTTAACATTTCTGCTTTAAGCTAGAGGTTGAGCACATTCTGTACCCTCAAAGTAAGATTACTTCACTTAAATTTAGCACTTTTCCGTTATTATTAAAGAATTACGAACATAAAAGAAAGTTTTATTTTTTGTTACTTGAATCAGGTTTTTCTTATTTCAGGTGTAATATTTGAAACTCCACAGAAATACTCAGATTTTGTGTTTTTGCAGTGCGTCTACATGTTTTCCATTTCCACTATTGAATAGGAAGCGTTGATCGATTAGCATCAGGAAGCTAACCTTTCTATTTGCTTGAAGCTGCGGCTGCTGTATGAGGGAAACCCGATGGCGTTCATCATGGAGCAGGCGGGCGGCATGGCGTCCACTGGCTTCGAGAACATCCTGGACATCCAACCCGCAGGCATCCATCAGCGCGCCCCCGTGGCCATGGGCTCCCCCGACGACGTCCGGGAGTTCATCGCCATCTGCAAGAAACACGCGGCGAAGTGAGGCGGGCGGTGCCAACCCGCTGCCCGACCCGCTGCTGACCCGCCACCAACCCGCTGCCCGACCCGCTGCCCGACCAGCTGCCTTCCTTTGTGACCAAAACGGTTTGGGAGATTTTCGGGCTTTAATGAGTCAAACTGTTTGAGTTGTTCATAAGCTTCAGTAAACCTGAAATGAAGACTTTACTCTTCAGTTTACAAAAAGCTGCTTTAATCAGCCAAAATATGCAAATGACCAAATATAACCTACGAACCAAAATGCTGATTTTATCTTGTTCAATAAAAAATGTTTGGAAGAAAATATTTTAAATAAACCAAACGGATTCTATGAAGATGTAATCGGTGTCGTCATTTTGCAGATTCAAGTATTCAGTGTCATGAGGTCAAAGGTCAAACTGTGGCTCAGAGGACATTTATGGCGGCTGGAGCAGGTTTTATGCAGCTCCTGACTGCAGTTCAAGAATACCATAAATTTGACCTTCAGTGGAAACTTTTGCCATATTTCAATGACAAATTTAACAGATTTTTAATTTTAATTTCACAATAAGTAGAGCTATAAACATACAACAATTTTTCATTTTTAAAAAAGACTAAAGCACATTAATTCTATTAAACTTTAGTAATAGTTTTTTTTAAAGAAAGTTCCCATTGTTAACAGAATTTCTGGATCAAATAAAAAACATAAAAAGTTAGAAAAATGTTTTATTAAAACAAAACAAAATCTGCCACTTTGTTCATTAAAATTTTGCATGTTTGTATTTTTGCTGTGCAGAGAAGAAAAAAGTCACAAGAAATATATTTTTCCTTTTTAGTTGGAAAAACAAACAACTTCAGGATTTCGGCTCAAAGATGAAATGATTACTTTAGTAATTATTACTCAGTCAGAAACAAGAAGACCTCATTTCTCCTGAAACAAACCAGGTTTTGCATCATGTGTGTTTTTTTTATGAAGGGAAGAAAGAGATAAAGTTTACAAAAGCAGCCAGCAGAACAAATAATGTAGAAAGGAAGTTTACACAAGTATGGGAGTGAACGATGTGCAAACAATGGAGCAAGACAAAGAAAAAAAGAGGTTATGACAAACAGCGAAAAATAAAAACCAAATTTTCTCGTCCAGTTTCTAATGCAAATCTTAATAAACCTGAAATAAGACAAAACTAGCTCAGAGATAACTTTTCAGAAAGGTATAGCTTTTTTTAAAATGAAGAATTTCTTAATATTAGGCAATAAAATACCAGTTACACTAGTAGATAATTTGAGGGAAAAGTTTCCTAAAAGTGAAATAATCTGTTTTATTATTTTATTTTAAGTAAATCAAGACATCCTGGTACTTTTCTTTGCATTGAGAAATAAGCATCAGATGAATATAATTAACAAAATGTCAAGTATAAACACTTAGCTAAACCATACAACCATAAAACGAGTGCAGAATTTCAAAATAAAACAGGAAGTGAAGAAACCCAGAGCGTTGCAGTGAAGTTACACCATCAAAAATTAGCAACAATAAATTGGATTATTTATCAAACAGAGAAAAAAAATGGTGATTATTGTTCAAGGTTATATTTTGTGAAAATGACTGAAGAAAAAAACATTTTTGTCTCCCATGTCAAAAACAACCAAACCCACATAAAGATCTATTTCTGAAATAAATAAAAATGGGTAAAATGATGCATGAAGGTTAAATGATACTTTATCCTGCAGGAGGTGTCAACCTTTGACCTTTACACCAAAAGGCTTCAGATGACCTTAAGCTGAAAGGTCAGACTGAGTTCTTCAAGCTCTGTGACCTTTAAGCTGAAAAGAGCCAAGAAAACCAGAGAAAATATCATTTTTATTGACAAACATTCTGCAAAGTTTATTCATGAGCAAAGCTGCTCAGGTTGCATTAAAATAAACGTTTAATGAATTGATAAAATAGTTTATAAATCAGGTTTTCCTGCACTTTCTCTCCTCAAGCTGTGCAGCCGACACTCGACACCACCGGGCCGGGCCGGGCTCACAAATAGATCCGCCGGCCCGGAATGACAACGACGCGGAGCCAGACCAGGAGGTCCAGTCAAAGCCCGTCCGAACCTGCTGCCTGCAAGGAAAGCCGCCGGTCCAGAACCCAGCACCGGACCAGAACCCAGCACTGGACCAGAACTCAGCACTGAATCAGCACCGGACCAGAACCCAGCATGTCGGACCAGTCTGCCTTTGACACGGATGTCTGGACCCTGACCCGGTTCATCATCGAGACGGGCCGGCAGGCGAAGGGAGCCACCGGGGAGCTGACCCAGCTGCTGACCGCCATGCTGACCGCCATCAAGGCCATTTCCTCGGCGGTGCGGAAGGCCGGACTCGCCCACCTGTGAGTAGAACCTGTCAGGAAGAAAGAGGAGGAAAAAATCTGAAATATTCTATATTTCTGGATTTGAAAAATTATAAACTTGCTTTGAAAAAACAAGAAAATGTTTTGATGCTGTCAGAGGAAAAACTGTTTACCTGCAATGCTAACTAGCTTTAGCATTCAGAACAGGCTCTGCTGATGGTGAGCAGCACCAGGGAGTGATTGACAGCGCTAAGACCCGCCCCCTGGCTCTCATTGGATATTTCATATTAGCGCTGAGAGAAGGCAGAGGAACTGATTGTTCTCCAGATCATCTCTCTCATGGAGACTCACGACAGGGTGACAGTTTCCAGTCAGAGCTGATTCCTCTGCAGGTCCAAATGTTGGACATTTTATTTTCCTGCCTCAGTCGAGGTTTAACGTTTCCTCAGCAGTCCTGTCGTAACGCCGTGTTTGGTTATGATTCACTTATCTGCATTATCTTGGAGAAATTAAACATTACACACGACTGGTCAACGTTCTGAATTGCTCAAAATTGACTTTGCAATCTTCTTTGTTTGGGGACTGAGGGAGACACAGTCAGGTTTTCAGACCAAATCATTAGGATGGTGCAGAAATTCAAGAATGTACCAGTCAAGAAATATACCAGTCCAGATGCTTCGTCCTCTTTAAATCTTCTAACGTCAAGAAGTCCAATCATTTAGACTCCTTGATTTCCTCCAGCTGAGATGTTCTTCTGAATTTTTAATAATGTTTCTCCAGTTCTTTTTAAATTTGGACAATTTTGTGTAGTTTCTTCTTTTTCCTCCTCATTCTCCACTCAATTAAGGCAATTATTTCTATCATAAAATATGATGCAGAAGCAACACAAAAACTTTTTTAGATAAAGCTTGATGAGAAAAATAGCCAAAAATCTCAGCAATTTGATGTTAATCCAGAAATTTTCTAGGAAAAAATGAAAATTTCTGAGTTTGAAAAGTTTAACATTTTGACCAAAAATTCAGAATTTTTTAGATTGATCTCAGAAATTGTCTTGTAAAAATTTGGAGTTTCAAAAATGTTTAATTTTTGACTTTTGAAACTCGTAAATGTCCCTGTCTTTTTGTAGAAAATCTCTGGGATTAATCTGAAACCTTCTCAGATGGTTATGTTGCGTTTGTCTCCAGGCAGGGCATGGCCGGCTCCGTCAACGTGACGGGGGACGACGTGAAGAAGCTGGACGTCCTGTCCAACGACCTGGTCATCAACATGCTGCAGGCGTCCTACAGCACCTGCTGCCTGGTGTCCGAGGAGAACAAGGAGCTCATCGTCACCCCCCAGGACAAACGGGTAACCTTAAAGGGCCAGCGCACATTTAAAGGCTGGGATGCCTGAGACTGCAAGTTTCAGGCATGTTTATCTACATTAAACATGTAGATAAATGTTTTTTACCAATGATGAGAAATTTATGCTGTGTTCCACCGAGGCATTGTTTGCAATACCTCATGTTTTTCACAAGTGAATGTTCTTTTTTATTTTGGAGTTGCAGACTGCGATGGTGTATTAGGGCCAATTTACATGAGAAAATAAGGAGTAAATTTCTGCAAAAAAATTTAAAAAAACAAACTCAGAAGTTTCTGAGATTAATCTGAAAAAAATCCTCTGGAAAAAAATGTTAAAATGTCACTTTGAAAAGTTGAAAATTTAATGTTTATCTACATCTGAAATTCTGAGGTTAGTCTCAGAAATTCTCTAGAAAAATAATGTAGACATTTTGGATTTTGATCTAAGCGCTAAGGAAATTTTAAGGAAAAGAATCAAGAACATTTCAGAGTTTCAAAAAGTTGAAAATTGGAAACATATTAGAAAAAACAAGGAAATTTGGAGATTAATCCCAGAAATTTTTGTAGAAAAACTTAACAGGAATTTTTGATTTGTTGGCAGAAATCTACACCTGGTATTTTTATTATTATAATTTTCTGTGGTAGGATCTATATTGAAGGCTTATTTTCAGCTGGAAGGTGATTGGCTGGTCCTTCCAGGTGCCATTCCTCACCTTTGGTCACGAGTTTCGGATCATGACCATCAGAACCAGACCAGCGTCTGAAACAAGCTGAGACTGAGCGATAAGCATCAGTTTCTCCTGATCAGAAGTTTTATCTTCAGACCCTGAAGATAAAACTGATTCATTGGTTTGACCTCAGGGAAAGTACGTGGTCTGCTTTGACCCTTTGGACGGATCCAGTAACATCGACTGCCTGGCCTCCATTGGCACCATATTCGCCATCTACAAACGGGTGAGTCTCACTGTTTACAAATCTGTTCATCCAAAACTGATTCCATTAAAAACCCTGCAGTAACACGCTGCAGCCACCAGAGGGAGGTGTTGTTCAACTGACTGCAGGAGAACATAGTAAATATGTAACAACTAAGCAATAAAGAGAGTTTTTAAGTAATTATTGATATATTTTAAATTAAATAAATGGGTCAAAGCAAAGAACTCAGACTAATGCTGTTCATTTGATAAATGATTAAAAAGGAAACATCAATAATTAATGATTATTAATGTGTGACATGTTTGAAAATTAATGACTGTTTTAAATATTGATTATTCAGACGATTGATTAATTTGATTTGTGGTGCACTCTCCTAATTTTTCACTTAATGCTTTATTAGAAATGCATTAAAACACGTTAATAAAAATAATACATTTTACAGCCTGAAATGCAGCAGCACAGGATTCATTTTGTGCCTGACGTCACATGAACACAGAGTTCAGATAAATCAACAAATCTCACCAAAACGTTTATTTCCATCGACAGATTATTTCACTTCCATTTTCCCCATATCATAAGTAAAATAATCTTCCAGTGAAACTAAAACCTTTTCATCAATATTAATAAATTGTTTACTTAAATGCTCTTATGTCTTCCTTAAGAGTTAGTTGTGAGTTAGTTTCTTATTTCAAGTACACTAAGACATGCAGACATGCAGACTAGAAACTAGAACAAAAAATGTTATAAGATTTTGTGTTTTTTTCAGTTCAGTTAATTAGTCGATTACTAAAGTAGTTGATGATTTTAATAAATCATAAATCATGATTAATCGTTCCAGTTGCATTGCTTAGCCAGCTCTGTGTTTTCCTCTTGTCGCTGCGGTCAGACGTCAGAAGGCGAGCCCACAGAGCAGGACGCCCTGCAGCAGGGGAAAAGCATCGTGTGCGCCGGCTACGCACTCTACGGCAGCGCCACGCTCGTCGCCCTCAGCACCGGCGCCGGACTCAACTTCTTCATGCTCGACCCGGTCAGTCCGCCAACCTGAGCTACTTGCCGGGTTTTTTTAATCTCCAGCTGCAAATATTTGTTATAAATTGGCATCAAACAAATTCTGTTGAGAGACGCAAAAAACAAGTAAAGGACTAGGTTTTACTGCAAACATCTTAATGCACTTAAAATAAGACTAAACTTACTCACAAGTAACTTTTCTGCGAATAATAGGAGTTTAATTTAAGTAAATAATTCCTTAATATTAATATTATTATTTTACCTATATCAAAATAAGCTCCTGTATCTTGGATAAAAGTTACTTGCAAGTTAGTTTTGTCTTTTTCTAGTGTGTTAAGATGTCTGCCCTACAAACTACATCACAATGACTTTGTAAGACTTTGTGTTTTTGCAGTGAACACCAGCAACTTGAAATCCACAGAGATATATTTGCTGTTATTCATTGTTGTTTCTGAGCTTTAAGCTTAGAAATCAAATCTTTTCCGGAACATTTCGGTGAATTTAAACATTTCCTTCTTGGCTCCGCTCTAAAGGCCATCGGTGAGTTCATCCTGATCGAGAGGAACGTGCGGATCAAGCAGAAGGGAAAGATCTACAGTCTGAACGAAGGCTACGCCAAATACTTCCACCCCTCCATCAACGAGTACCTCAAACACAAGAAACACCCCGAGGTGAAACGTTTCCACTCAGGACTACAGCCTTGATGCACTGTAAAAAAGTATTTCAGGTTATTCTGCTGTAAACATCTTAGTTCTCTTAATTAAGACAAAACTAACTTACAAGTGAGCTTGTTTTCAGTCAATAAATCCTTAATACTGACGACAAATTAAAGACCATTTACAAGTGAAATAATCTGCCAGTAAAACTTGAACTTTTTACGTAAATATTAAGGCATTATTAACTTCAAACAAGCTTTTATTTCTTGCTGAAAAGCTACTTCTAAGTTACATTTGACTTGTTGTGAATTAAGATGTTTGCACTGTACAAACTGAACCAACTTGGTCATATTTAGTGTTTTTGCAGCAGAAACATGAGTTGATGTTTTTCTGTTGTTAATCTGATTCCTTCTGATGAAGCTGTAAAGTAGAAAAAAAACTCGCTGACACTCAGGAGAATCACTTTTGCTGGTGCAGAAATAAAATCGTGTCCGAAGCTCATCATGTGAGTCCTGACGAAGCGTTTGATCTGCCTGGGTGGGTTTACAGAACGCTGACTGCACAGAAATTAATTCATGATTTATTTTCTACTTTCAGGACAAAATCTGTTTACAAAGACTTTATTACTCATTTTATTTGTTTATTTTTCTATTTTGGATCATTAAAATGTCTTTCAGTTAAAGAGTTGAATGTTCATTAGTATTTAAAGTTTATTGAGTTTGGAGAATATGTTCTTTGAAATTTATGTTCAAGAACATCCATTGAAAAGTTTCTCAAAAAATAAAAACAAAAAAACTATATTTTCATTTATGGCAAAAACTTCTGGGATAATTTGTTTCCATGTCAACCCTGTTAACGAACAAACAAACTTCAAAATACAAAATATTAAATATTTGTAGTTTCTACTGCAAACATCTGGACATAAGAAAGAAGACGAAGCAAACTCAGGAGTGACTTGGTGATATTTGGTTTCTTCGGGGTTAGCAGCTTCGTTCTGGGCGCCGCAGGTCAAACCCAGCGATCAGGAAGCTGCAGCCTGTCAGCTGGAAACTCTGGAGCCTGTTCAGCTCTGCAGAGTCCAAAACACGATGACTGAGTCCGTTCAGAACCACTGATGAGTCAGAGAGGAAAAGCTTGAATCTTTTATTTCCTCTGTGACTCATCATCCCGTGAATCCTGCAGTCATGCCACAGTATCATCATGTGACATTGATATCTGCACCATTGCTTTGATCATTTCCTGCATGTTTGAGAAATCCTCTGATCTCCATGGCACCGATCAGCTGTGCAGAAACAAACCTGCACAGATTCAAACTGAACGTGTTGAGCAAAGAGGAAGAAAATAATCTCACTGCTGCAGATTCAAATGTTGTTTTTTATGCTCATATCTCAAAACATCACTTTGTGCTTTTTGAGGGTGAAATATTGTCCTATTATAATAATGTTTTATTTTGTAGTTTATTCTCATATTATTAGCACTTTATTAATAAAACCAAAAATGATCTAAATTCCTCATTTTTCTGCAACTTTAAGACTCTTTTTGTGTCAGAGTTATTTTAATATTACCTATTTGGTGTCGCTTTTATGAATAAATCACAATAATATGAGAAATAACAAAATATTGTTCTAATATTAATGTAATATAATAATATTTTGCCCTTAAATAGCCTCATTGAACAGGCCTAATTATATTTATTCTTGTATTTCATTTTATCCTCCTAATTTTACAACTTTATTCTTTTTTTCTCATACTCTGGCGTAAGTTTCCACCTTTAGGATAAAAATAAAAACCATTTTAATGAACAGCAGCCTGATTATTTTCTGAATCTGCCACTATGTAACTACTTTAGATGCCAGAAGGTTTCATTACTTCCTGCTTTGGGTTATTTTTGGAAAATAAAAGGAAAACATTGTGTGACGGTTCGAACCTCCTGATGGTGACAGTGATGCAGCAGATGGGAGTTGTAACCGCAGCTTTCCCCTCCGGCAGAAACTGAAATCACGAGGTTATGGAGCAACGTGAACGTTGAACTGACTGCAGCAGCACAGATTTCACTTCCTGCTCTCAAGCTGCTGATTTCACTTTAGAACAAGTTGGAGGATGAAAGTTTCAGGTTACAAGAAACTCTGGCCACAATTTTATCTGGAGAAATTAAAAAATGACGGAGAAATGAACAGAAAGTCGGATTTTGATCGTCATTTGTTGCGTAGAGAGAAAGATGAGTGTTTCAGAGTTTTGTGTGCATTCAGGTGTGTATTGAGGAACGATGTGAACACACACTGAGTGTGTGATGAGTCAGCAAACACACGACTCCAAACATGCAAAGCCACAAAAATGATTTTCCACTCCGACGCATGAGGAGTTTGTTTGCTTAATGTGACCCAGATCGGCTGCAGGTGAACTCTGACCCCTCTGCTGGTTATTGATTATCCTTTAAAGTTACGGCACAAAGATCAAGCAAAACATCTGGAGGATTTAGTGTAAAGTGTTTTTAGTATTTATCAATCAAAAGTTTTTTTCTTGTACAAACTGTTTTGTTTTTGTTGAGAGGCTTTACATTTTATATTAGTACATTAAAAATAAGATAAAACTAACAAACAATCAGATTGTTTCATTTCAATAGACTTTGAATATTGAAACAAAAAGTTTTCGTTTCACTGGCAGATTATTTCACTCATAACTAGAAAGATTTTCTTGTTTCATAACTGAAGAAATCTAGTGGAACCAGAACTTTTACCAATATTAAGGAACCACAAAACAAGCTCTTGTATCTTGCTAAAAAGTTACTTGCAAGTTATTTTTGACTTATCTTTGGTGAACTAAGATATAAGAGTTTTTAAAACTGCACATTTTCCAGACACCAAATACTATGAATTCATTGTCAAAAAACGTCTTGGTTATTTTATTTAAGTCTTGAGTTGTTTTCAGAAGCCATTTCAAAGAATAAAAACTTGCAAAATATAGTTTTTGCATGACATGTTCCCTTTAAAAGCAAATAAAAAATCTTATAAATTTAAATCTGATAGAAGTTTGATAATCAAGATGAAACTTCAGGTCAATTCTGTGTTTTGCATAAAACTGTTTCACATAACAACCCTGATCCAAATGTTTTTCAATAAACTGCATTAAACCATTTATTTAAAAACCAGTTAATAACAGAAGTGAGTGTCTGTCCTGCAGGACGGAGGCTCCCCGTATGGGGCCCGTTACGTGGGATCCATGGTGTCAGACGTTCACCGCACCATCGCCTACGGAGGGATCTTCATGTATCCTGCAAACGAGAAGAGCCCCAAAGGAAAGGTAACATCAGACGCAGACGGTTTGGTTTTATAACCAACTAATCATGAAAAATGTTAAGTATTTGAATTCCAATAACCATGCTGTTATTTTTTATCTCACAGTAAAAAAAGATCATCTACTGAATTGATTGTTTAAAGATCAATTCAATTTCTCCAGCTTTTTTCCTAGGTGTTTTCATGCATAACATTTCCATAAAAAATGACTAAAAGTCCAAGAAATATTCTCTTGTAAAACATGAAACATGTTTTGAGTTCTACAAACTTCGCTGCAATGTCATTAATGAAAAATACAAGAGTTTGACAAAGTTTGACAGTGACAATGAGTTTTGATAAAAGTATTTTATAAATATTTTAACTAGAAACTAAACCAAACATACCTGGTGAGATTCTGTGTTTTGCAATAAGCTATTAAAACATACAAAAAAGAACAGAATTAAACCCAAAATAGCTGAAAACTGCGTGAAAACGAAGCTACAGTTTGAGTTTGTTTTAACGTAAATAATTCTGTCCTACAGACTGAAAACCATGAAGGTTGGAACCAGTTTTGTGGTTTTCTGTCAGCAGAATCAGATGTTTATCTGTAAACATCTGTTCAGCTGTGGGGATGTTTTCCCTCCACCGATCAATAAGGTTTATTTATGCTGCAGAGAGGCTGTAAAGATAATCAACAACCTTTCACCTCGTTTGCTTCCTGACATCTCGGCTGTCGTGACCTTTTAATCCTCTAGATACCGAATGGACCTGCAGAGCCGGCCCAAGGCAGAAGCAAACTGACCAACTGCTCAGGGCTCCAGTCAGGAAATTCACTAACAAATAAATATCTATTTATTATTGATGAAAAAGAACTTGTTCCACTGGCAGATCTTGTTTTAAGTGGAACAGAAACCTTTTCATCAATGTGAAGAAATTATTGACTTAAACTCATTTATGTTGCTGAAAAGTTACTTATAAGTCAGTTTTGTCTCATTTTATGGGTTATTTCAAGATATTGAAACTAAACCAAAGACATTGTTTAGATGTGTTTTTGCACTGAAGGAGAAATTTGTTGAACTTAATTTGACTGTTTCTGTGTATGTTAACAAAAACATGTTGAAATTGTTAAAAGCTTAATTTAAGCGCCTGCTGAGTTTTCTTGTTTTTTGGGTTCAGCTCTGATTGTTGATATTTATGGTCATTTTGCAAACATGCAGTTGTGTTATTTAGATTTACATACCTTTGTGCAAACATAAAGAAACCAGTTTGGTGTCTTTGTTTTCATCCTTGGAGCTGCTTTAATAACTTCGTTTACATGTCAAATGTGCAGGAGCTGCCTGATAGTTTCTGTTCAGAGCTTTCTGAGTTGATGGATTTGCCTTTTTTGAAAAATTAAAGCTGTTCTCTTACAGCTGCGGCTGCTGTATGAATGCAACCCCATCGCCTTCCTCATGGAGCAGGCGGGCGGCCTCGCCACCACCGGCACCCAGAGGATCCTGGACGTTCAGCCCGAGACGCTCCACCAGCGGGTTCCCTTCGTGGTCGGCTCGCCGGACGACGTCAACGAATATCTGTCGTTTGTGAAGAAGTTTTCATGAAAGCTGCAGCCGAGCTGAACGTTTTCCATCAACCGATGTTTTATCGCCGGAAAGATTCAGACTTTTTTTTCTTTTTGGACAAAACTAAATATTTGTCGGCTTTGTAAACAAGATTTTAGATTTAACTTGTAATAAAATCCAAATATTTAAATGTTCTTAATCTTAAACGGTAGAACTGGTTTTTAGACGTTAAAGTGATTTTTTTCAGGTTAAGGATTAACCTGACTATTCGAGAGTCTGTCTTTAAAAGGAAAACTACTTTTCCTTTTAAAGACACCATATGTGAAGTTTTCATGACTTTTTATCTGTGTTTTATGATTTGAAGCATTTTGCAATGTGCTGTAAAAATAATCTTGATTGACTGATATAACAAGGGATTCAGATATTTTATTGATTACTGCAAAAGCTGAAAATGATCATAAAACCAGCAAGTGTTAGTCAGTCATTAAGCAGCATAACTATATGCATGGGCTACATATACATGTTTCCATAAATCATTGCACAATCTCCTGTTAATAAAAAACTGTGAGACTTTATTCTCATTCTTTGGCCTTCAGGAGTGCAAGGAAACGTTGCTTAGAGGATAACAGGAAGGCTGGCATCTGTTGCAATGCCACAGTTGTTATTCCTGCCTTTAGCCATGTGGATGTAGCCGTTGTTGCCCCAGTTTTCACTCCAGCTGCAAAGAAAATATGAAAAAGCCATATATGAATGACTTCTAATGATACGTCTCAAAATACAAAACTCAGAAATGAACCATTAAAACTACACACTCTCCACCGAAGTAATGTTGCAGAAGTGACTGACCTGTTCTTCACGATCCAGTAATCCTGATCGGAGGAGCCGTATCCCACCAGGAGGACGCCGTGGTTCAGCTGCTCAGAGCTGCAGTTCTCTTCATAGTAAACGCCTTAAACACGCAGAGAGTCGAGTTACACAAACAGCTAACGGCTCCAGATTCACAGGAACCTTCTGTTCATCAGAAACCAGCCATTTGTTTTTGAAACGGCAACGTCTTCAGTCAGAGGTTTCTACGGATGTGCTGTAATACAGACTGCTATGAAAGATCTTCCCTGCCAACAGCCATCAGTGTCTACAATAACTCTTAAAGAATCTGAATTAATATTATTCACAACATTTAGTTTCCCGTTGGGACCAATAAAGTATTTTTGAGTTTGAATTATAAAAGTGATACATTGTAACTCCTACATTAGTATTATTATTAATTAATAATAATTTTATGGGACAATCTAAAAGCACTACATTGTAGATGAATCAGCTGAATCACTGTATATTTAGAGCAGATTACCCGACTGGTAAAACTGGAAGGAGTGCTGACTGGCGTCTATAGCGACAGAAATGGGCCCCATCGTGGCCACGGCCTCCATCAGGTCTTCCTCGCTGCCACTGGGAATGGATGCGTAGCCGTCAACGATGATGGCGTTGTAGGACGCGTTGTAGAAGCACTGCAGGTTGTCCTGCAGACCAAAGAGGAGAACTTAGTGTCATAAAATGTCAAGCAGGAGCCAAATGATGTAGAACTACCTTTGCCTGGTATGGGTACGATTCTTCAGAGTCCAGACCACCGTTTTCATGAACATACTGAAACGCCATCTTAGCCCAACCACCATCACAGCCCTTGTTGCCCAGATATCTAGAACAGTCCATCAGGTTCTGTTCGCTCAGCGAAACCAGCCTGCGGGTCGCCCTGAACAGCTGGCCCTCCAGGCAGCCGGTGGCGCTGAAGGCCCAACAGGAAGCACAGCGGGCCTGAAGGCAGAATGAAAGCAGAGCATGTCAGGATCCAATGCCTCGGAAATCTAACTACCAACCCGCCGGCTGCAGGATGACCCCCGACCTCCTGGGTCACTCCTGGCTTTTACTTTTGGAGTATTGACTCATTTTACTGTGTTTCCACTGACACAGTAAAACTGAGCAAATTGAAACTATGAAAATACATTTCCTTAATGGAGACATATCAATTAAAAAAAAAAACTTTCCTTTTCTGGAGAAAAAAATCAATTTAAAGCACTTTCACTAGCTCTGAAACTATGTCAGAAGCTCTGACTATATTCTTCTTTCAGTTCTCGATCACAGCAAACCAAAATTTAATGTTTAAAAAGTAATGAATATAACAATTTAAATGTCAACTACAGTGAAAATGTTCAACATAATAATAAAGAAAAAATAAACATAAAGTTTATCATATAAATTGAGATGAACAAATGCTATAAATTAAACTTCTAAAAGGGTTTTGTGCTGGAATGAGGAGATTTATCGGCCACATCGAAGGCAACAGAAACACTTTGTCACTTCACACAAGTCGTGATCAACAGCCGGATGTTGCTTCTGGCAGAAACAACAAAGAAGACAACAGGAAGTAGAAGGAGATTGATGGCATGTTTTTGTTTTTTTCAGTGTGCAGCTGGCTCCACTGTAGCTTATCACAGTTGTGTGTCATTCTAACATGTTGAATCTTTTGTTTCCATGATTTTTTTACTACATGAACAAGCTTATTCACACTTGACTTTAATTTAATGATTTATTATTACTCCCTTCAGTGAACTGCTTGGTTCACCTTCAGTGAACTGCTTGGTTTCAGCAAGTGATGATACAAGTTGAGGAAGCAAAGTGGAAAATATGCACTCAGACAAGTCAGGTGAAGTTAGACAACCTGCCAAGAAAAATGTTTATTTCAGAGAAAACAGATGATGTTACCTGGTCCTTGACGGGCGTTACGTATCCTTCTGTCCTCCAGTCCACAGAAACAGGGACGTCCAGGAAGCTGGGCTTCTTGAAAATGGTCCCAACCTTCGGCTCTGCTTTGGGTTTGTAGCCGTGCATAATCTGCCTGAACTCCTCCTGAGTCTGTTGGAAATGTTTCAGTCAGCACAACAGGCCACAACAAAAACACACAAAAAGAAAAGTGCTGTAAGTAGCAAACCACTCAGTTACTCTCTGAAAACGAATCCTCACACAGGGACCCTGTGCTGGTGCAGATGAACCTGCTCTGCAAGAGCAACCTCCAAATCGTCCATTTTGAGTCAACATGGAGGGCTGAGGATTTCCACCTCACAACCAGTTTAATGCATTAATTATGAAACTAAAGCCACTTACTTTCATTTAGCTTCTATTACTATCTTAATTATGCAAAAAAAAAGAACAACTTTTTTTTACATACCCTCATCAATCCCTTTTCATTAACTTAAAGTTTTGGTCATTTTGTACCTGATATTTTGGGAGAATCATTTTGTTCCTCCCTGCAGTTCATAACGTAATTTCACAAAATTGAACTGTAAATTGCATTAACAATTAGGTTAAATTGATTTTTAATAATCTGGTAACTTTTCCCTCAATCTTAGCAGGAGGACTGGAGAAAAGGAGGTTGACCTGCGGATAATATCTGCTCTGTTGCCTCACCATGTCTGCGAAGTGGTTCATGCCCAGACGGTAGGTCTGCTTCCCCAGGGAGTGCTCCAGGTTGTGCATCTCGATCTTCTTCAGGTTCTTCTCCCACACCATCCGCCGCCAGCCCTCCTCTTTCTGCAGCAACACCAACATTCAATCAGCTGTTTCTGGTCAAAAATGGATTTAAAGAGTCAAATTTACAACAATTCGTAGAATCGGGGATTTTAGTCAAATTAGATGCTGATGCTGTAAAATGGGAGGATGAGATTTGGATGGGAAATGTAACATCTCAGTCAAGCTTTCAGTGCATGTGTTGCATTTCATGCCTGTTTTGTTGTTCATCGGCTGTTTTTACCTGGTGGTAGGTTTTGTTGTACCGGTTCACCCACAGCTCCCAGTGCTGATCCAGCTGTGGGTCTCGACTCGGGGCTGACAGAACTTCACTCATGCAGAACATCAGAAGCACTAAATGCAGCATTGTTCCCACTTTCAGCTGGAAGAAATAAATAAAAACATCAAAAAGCTGAATAAATGTAGGATGTAGGACTTCTGGCAGCACATAAATTATTAAGCTGTAAAATTATGATTTCACTCATGAAGGTAAAATAAATTGTCCAAACCTGCCTGGCCTTGTTGAACAGTGAATTAACTGGGATTAAACACAAATTTCACCTGGAGAATCAAGAAATCACTTCAACAGAAACTGTAAAATATCTTTTTCAAACAGAGAAAATGTATAAACGTTAACTTCTATTTGTGTTTTATTTTTACCAAACTTACAGATTAAACTCTGTTATTCAGTCCAATGATTTACTTTTTCATCCATTTTATCATTTAAGCCACAAAATAACCAACAGATCAGTTGATCACTGTATTGATCACTGGATTTGATTCCAGAAAGAAAAAAAGCCCCAAACTAAATTATTTAATATAGAAGATAATTATTTCTTCAAGCTCTGACATGCAACTATATTCTTCTTTCAGTTCTCGGCAAACCACAATTTAATGTTTAAAAAGTAATGAATATAACAATTTAAATGTCAACTACAGTTAAAATGTTCAACATAATAATAAAGAAAAAATAAACATAAAGTTTATCATATAAATTGAGATTAAACCTTTGAAACTTACTGTGATTTTTTTCTGTTGATGAGGAGAAGCAGAGAACCGATTCCTTTCTGCGCCGAGGAGCAGAAAGTTTATAAGCTTTCAATGTGAAAGCGTTGAGCTTTCTGATTGGTCCAGGTGATCCAGGTGTGTCCAGGTGATGTGATTCCTGAAACAGGACACACTTGGCCGCTTCAGCATCAGCATCTAAAATTATAAATATTTAAATTAATAAATAAATTAATAATAGAAAACAAAGTTATAAGTAAAAACAAAATTTTGGGAATAAAATCAAATTAATCAAATTGTTCAACATTTTAATTCAAAGAAAAAAAGAAAAATATTAGAAAATTTGATTTGGCTTCTTTTGGCTGGAATAAATTTTTAAAGTGACTAAACTGCAACAGGAATAAACATTTGTAACAGGATGTAGAAACATTTTCTGTATTATTTGTGTCTCTTTATGTAGGTGAGGATGCTAACTCTGCTATGCTAACAATGGATTAACTAAACAAATGCTAAGATTTTAACAAACTACTTTTCACACATTTTTACCAGCTAACGTGAAATTTGATTTAAAATCAGACATTTTAATAAAATAATGGTTAATGCTGTCAAAAGCCTCATATAGATTATTATTGGAAGCTAAAATATGCTACTTGTTTTCAAAGCAACCAATCCCGGAGCGGAATTTGTTTTCCTCTGCGCTGATTGGCTGAACCCCGGAAAACGGAAGTAAGGAAAACCCGGTTTCCATTTAACGTATTAATGCACATTAAGGTATATTTGGTGTTTGAACTATTAAAATATTCAGTTGTCAACATTTAAGACTTGAAGTATTTTAACTATTTGTGAGCGACTGTAGTTTTAAATCCACACAGACATCAGGATCTGCTGCATTATGTTTATAAAAGTATTAACCCTGCTCACCTGGTCTGGGGCAGATTTGTTTTATATTAAAGTGCAACCTTTGCAAAACATAAACTCATTCAAAAATAATTATAAATCTAACTTTAGACAAACCAATCCCCCAAAAGTTGGCACTGTTATGGTCAGATCTAAGATTTACACATCACCTTTTCTGCTGATATTTGACTACATGAAATAACATTTATTCTGAATAAATTTATAGAATTTTTATATATAAAAAAGTAGAATCCCCAATCGCTTTCAACTCGACAGTCTTGGCCCTCAAGGACCAAGACTGTCCTTGAGGTTTTTGGGTCCCACTGGCCAACACAGTAACTCTTGTTTGTATAGCAGTCACTGACATCGTCCACAAGAACGAACAACCACATAAAGACCACAACGAAAGAAGCTGGATGTATCCAAACATTCTGGAAAGTTAGGTGGAAGGAAAACGTTTGGGAGAAAAAGGATAACAGAAATTTAATTAGGTAATCAATAATAGCCTGAAGAGGCCCAGAGCCCAGGTCAGAGCCAGCTTGAGGTCAGCAGTGAAGTTTCTACAGTCAGTGATGATTTGGGAAACCGTGACATCTGCTGGTTCAGGCGAGCAAAAGGAACCCAACCATGCATCACGTTCATAAACTGCACAACTTTTCTGTGCAACAGAATCTGGGTTTCTACTAACTGTAAGGTCCAAAATGTCTGCAACATTGTTGCAAAATGTCTGCAACAATAGAATAAACAAGTTTAGTCTATTGCTACAAAAAAAAAAAAAAAAAAAAAAACAGGTTATGTTGCACCATTTGAAAACAGTTGCTGTATTTAATGAAATTAGAAGATTTGCACAACAATTTTAGTGTTTCACATCTTTAATTGATCATGGTAAAAGTAGAACAAAATGAGATCGATTTACAATGACCACGGCACCAATTAACGAATCACTTCCAGAGCAGCGTACACATATTTACAGAGAATAAAACTACAATTCTTAAGAGAAAATAAAAATAAAGTGGCGTAGAACCAGGCCATGAAACGGCTTTTTCCCTAAAAGACCGAGTTTCCTCCTGACACGCAGCAGAATCTCCTGCTGATGCTTCAGTCCGACCGAAGCGTCGTCGCTCGTCTTCAGCCAAATCATTGCAATAAAAAGAAAAACTCGATGCTGCAGCGTCACACCAGGGGGTAGCTGGCTGCCGTGGCGATGCCGCAGTGGTTCTTCCTGTCTTTGGCCATGTAGATGTAGCCTTTGTCGCCCCAGGTGAGACCCCAGCTGCAAGAAAACAAACAAAATCAGTAAAACAGTTTGTCCAGTCAGGTTGAACGTTTAGCAAATGTAAAGCTATTAATTAATAAATTAGTTTTTTTTATTTCTAACATTTTTTTTCACAATATGATCCAGTTGAAGCTAAAACTGCCATTTGAGCTCCAGGTAGAAAATCTCTGTGTTCTTTCAACATTTGAGTCAGTTTAAACTGATCACTAAATCAGTCGACCGTTTCAATAATCGACTAATCGGACCTGTTCTTGACGATCCAGTACTTCTTGCCATCCACGTCTTCTCCCTGGAAGCCGTATCCCACCACCAGGACGCCGTGGTCCAGCTCCTCGCTGCTGCACTCCTTCTCAAAGTAGATCCCTAAAACAAATGTCAAAAGAAAAGGTCAAACGTCACGGCGGGACCCGGACCCGTCCGCACAGCTTCTCATGCAGACGCCAGACTGACCCGAGTGGTAGAACTGGAAGGACTCGTGACCGGCGTCTATGGCTACGGAGACGGGTCCGACGGCGGCCACGGCCTTCATCAGCGCGTGCTCGTTGCCGCTGGGGATGTCCACGAAGCCGGTGTCGTTGGCGGCGCTGAACGTGGGGTCGTAGTGGCAGTCGCCGTCCTGAAACGCAGAGCGACGTGAGGAAGAAAACATGCAGCTCAAATACAAAGAGCTGAAAATGTCTCCAAACATCATTAATCATAAAAACTTTCTGTCCAGCAAAATCTGACTGACCCAAGAGTTAAAGGAACATTTCACCAGAGGCTCAACTTTATTCCTACTTTAGTTTTAAAAACAAAACCAATCCTAATGTAGAGTTGACCTGAATCATGATCAATTTTGCTGTATGATAATTGATCCCAGTAATTATTGCAATAAATGATAATATTGGTCTTTTGAGACCATTTTCATTTATTAAATTTCTTATTGAAAGTTTGTCCATCAAAGATCAATAAACTTTAATTTTGTGACACTTAACTCTGGAATCGGTGGACATTTTAAACACCCAAAACAAATTGACCAAAAACGATACAAATAGCCAAAACCACAAATAGATTCTGAAATCTCAACACAAAAATATTAATAGAATAAAAATAATTGAGTCCAAATAAATAGAAGCTGTAAAACAAGATGGCCGCCTGGAAAACCCCCCAGATTTCCCCATAAATCTGTTTTTTTTAATCCAAACTTCACTAAATGAGTCAGTTTTCATGGTGTCAGTGGAGAAGAGGCGTACCACTCCCTGGTACGGGTACGAGTCCTCCGAGTCCAGGCCCTGGTTGTCCTTGACGTACTGGAAGGCCTGGTCCATCAGGCCGCCGTTGCAGCCTTCGTTGCCCTCGGGTTTGGAGCAGTCCACCAGGTTCTGCTCGCTCAGCGACACCAGCCGACCCGTCTTCTTGTACTGCTGGCCCTCCAGGGCGCCGGTGGTGCTGAAGGCCCAGCAGGAGCCACACTGACCCTGAGGGAGAGGAAGACGTCAGGACAGTCAGTATCTTTAGAAAAACTGGATTAAACAAAAAACTGGGAAACTGTTGAAACCCTGTAGACTGAAATCCCAACTGACATCCTGCAGTTTCTTAAAGCTTTTATTTGTGAGCATTGTCCCTTTTCCATCTTTTAGCTCCTAAAGGTCATAGCTGCACTTTAAATATAACAAACCGTTTGTCGTTGTTTTTGTTGTTCTTGGGGAAAAACGCATGAACCAAACGGATTCAGTGACGTTCAGGTGTTAGTAACTCACCGACTAGTTTGCAAGATGTTTTTCATATTCTGGCAAAATTCTTTAAAACCTGAACGGCTCCTTCAGTTTCCTGTTTACATCCTTTAAAATTTAACTTGGGAAGGAAAACAATTAGATCATTTTATCTCTATCGAACTACAGAAATGGCCGAATGTCGTAGAATGGAACATAAATGTTGCAGTTACACTTTATCTGGATTATTAAAATATAAAAGGATTTACAACATACGATATGTTCACTTTAAATCAATGACCTGCCAGGTTTTACTCTGATACCTGGTACCGGGCCACTCTTGAGTTTTAAGTCTGATTAACGCAGAATGATTTCAGGATTGTCGTCTGATTTTCCAAAATCTGGGACCAGAGGTGTCCTGGAACATCCCGATGCTCCTGGAATCGGGATCATTCACAAACATCCCGATTCCACAAGAAAATCCAGTAAAACCCAACATGCCATACATGAAGTTAGAGTAACAAACATGTCTGAGCAGCAGTGATGGTTTGTGGATTCATTTACAGCGATAAAAGACGTATGGCCGGGAGAACAAGTTGTGCCGCATAAAGATAATCCAAGCACCACCCTAATGGCCGCCTTATCTCCGCCTGAAGGCAGAACGTCAGAGGACAGAGTCCCTTTCAGACATGGAAACAAAATGGAGGCTGCAACATTTACAGAAGAAAAACAGACAACTGCAACTGCTTCTACACTAACCTGCAAATATTTTTATTTAAATGAGACATTTTAAAGAGTTTCAAACAACTTCAGATGACTGATGAGTGTTATCCTAGTAAAATATTTTATTCCATTTTTAAAAACCCAAACTTGTCTGTAGGAGAATGAGCTGATTTTTTCTCGTTACCTGGTCCTTGATGGGGGTGACGTAGCCCTGCTCCCTCCAGTCCAGCGAACGCGGCGCCATCAGGAAGCTGGGCGCCAGGAACAGCGACCCCTTCACCTTCCTGTCCGCTTTGTGTTTGTAGCCGTTCATGATCTGCCTGAACTCCTCGTTAGTCTGGGAGAGAAAAGGTCGGAGAGAAAAGGTCAGAGTGAAACGCGCAGCGAGAACCCGAAGCCTCCGATTACAGAAAGGCAAAGATTCAATTAAAACAAGTCTGATCATTTCCATTCAGACAACAATCCATAAATAAAAATGCTCCACATTTGCCCAAGGTGAAGAGATTAAATTTTATGAGATGCAAATTATGTCATTTTCATAATTTGTTTCTTTAAAATGTCTCCAGATCAGCCAGCTGTTCTGACAAATTGTCCCAAGATAAAATCAAATGTAAACTTTTTTCTTTTAATGATAAAGAGCTCATTTTATTGTACGATTGTTTGCTTGTTGTGACAGACTTGGTTTTAATGTTTAAATTATTATTTCAGTTGAAAATGGTCTCAAAACATTTAAACCTAACAGTTTATATGCAGTAAAATTTGCTATGGCAGGTTGTTTTGATTAATTTTTTCAGCAGAGATAAACTGTTCAGGCTGAGCCTGAGGTCAGCATGTCATAAAGCCCATATCTGTGCCTCACCATGTCTCCGAAGTGGTTCATGCCCAGACGGTAGGAGTGTTTCCCAATGGAGTGCTCCAGGTTGTGCATCTCGATCTTCTTCAGGTTCTTCTCCCACACCAGCCGCCTCCAGCCCTCCTCTCTCTTTGGAAAGCAAAAACACAAAAAGCCACATTTTTATGATTCATGATGGCGATAAAACACAAGAAACTTCCTGAAAACACGTTACCTCATTGTATTTTTTATTGTGCCAGCTCTTCCACATGTTCCAGTGCTCGTCCAGCTGTATGTCCATGCTGGGGGCCGACAGGACGACCACGCTGAGGCTCAACGTCAACGCAACCAGAGGCAGCATGGCTCCAGCTTCCTGCAGCAGACAACACAGCTGGATCAGGTTTCAGGAGGCAGAGCCTGGCAGGCTGTCACTACAGGGAAACAGCTACTCATGCAGGCAGTTAACTGGTTGGTGACAAACAGCTCAGAAATTCACAGGAAACTTTTCTCTGCAAATCCCTGGCATGCAGTCACACTGAAGCTGGTATGCGATCTAGACTCAAAGGGCTGCTTACATTTGGTCAAACAGTTGAGAATCAGAGCAGCTTTCAGTCCAGAGGAACCTCTCTGTGAAACTACATAACACCTTTAACATGTCTGTAGAACTGGAAGCAGGAATTTAGTCACTGGACAAATGCAGTTTGTCACCTGCATTAGGCAACAACCAGGTCAGTTTGGCCAGTTCTGTGTTTAAGACCTAAAGCCCCACTCCCAAAAAAAAAACAAAAAAACAAGTTTGTATTTGTTGATTTAACTGGGCCTATAGCGAGAGAAAAAAGGGGGAATAGCCCTTTAACATCGAATCGGAAGCGAACTTCAGCGCCATTCCCAACTACAGGAAAACACGCCAAGCTGCTGAGGCCAAAATGCGAAATATTATGATCTCAAAAGGCCTTTTTCACAAACTCAACGTGTATGAAATAACAGTAGTAAGGAAAACGCCGGTAGTGACTCATTTGTCGGTTTTCCAGGTTTTTACGGATGAGGATTCCGGCTTTATCCCAACAAGCCGATGCGGTTGGTTTGTTTTCCTGGTGGTGTTTTGCACAGTCACGGGACGTGCAGCCGGGCAGAGAGCCGGGCACAGAGCCAGGAGGCACCAGGCAGAGAGCCAGGAGGCACCGGGAAGCGCCAGGCAGCTCCAACCAGGAAAACGAAACACAAAACCAAAACTGGAACCGGCGCAGCGGCTCAGTTCAACCTGATCCCGCTGATGATGCTCTGATGGACAAAGAAACACGAGAAGAAAACAATGGCGGATGTGGAAGAAACGCATCTGGGACGGCGACAAACTCAGCCGAACAACGACAAACACTGACGGCTGTGACAATACAACGACTTTTAAACATTTCTCCCAATCTAAAGAACAAATTTCCCCTCAAACATTTTAAAATTGACAATTTACAAACGCAAACTGGTGCTCAGTTTACAAGAAACATAAAACCATCACATATATTCCCCGTAACAATAAAACCCAGATTTTAACCGAAATGTTAAATTACAAATCTTCAGCATTCAAGAAACAGCAAATGTTTGTTCTTACTGTTAAATCTTTTCTGATGAAAGGCCAGAAAACTGTCTCTCCGTCAGCCGAGCTACGCTTTATAAAGGCCAAGCGGGAGCGCGAGCACGTCCCACGAGCACTCCGATTGGCCCAAAACTTGTTTATACTCAACGCTGATTGGTTAGTTTCTTGTCGTTCCAATGGACAAGAAATTCCTCCTTATCTGACGCCATCATGGAAGCACGTGATTCCCTCTAGTTGGGACACAGCTGAATGGAATCCAAACTGGTTGCTGTTTTTAGAGAATTATTTCATCTAAAACTGCATAAAGATCACAGTAATGTGATTCTCTAAACTATTAAAGAAAACTGAATAAGAAGCCACTTTAAAAAGACACCAATAGAGAAAAACTGAGATAGAGATGAAACATGAAACCAGCATCAAAGGCTTTTCTACTTTGCTTCATTTTTATCACTAATGAAATGTCCAGGCTTGGTTTTTAAGGTAAAACAACAATAAAAGTGATTATAAAAAGTATTTAGAGCTTATTTTAACTCTTTTTCTGCCGTTAACGCCTCACAAACACCTTCCTTAAATAACAACCCATTTTGACATAGAAAACTGAGGTAGGCATTTATTAATGGCTGTTATTAATGGCTGTTATTAATGGCTAAATAAAATCAGGTGCAACACGGTGCCTTTAAAAGTTACTTAAAAAGTAAAAATAAAGTCCATCTGTGTGTAATTTGTTAGAATATAAAAACAATACACTATGAGAGAACTGAATTAACTCTGATTCACAGATTCACAGCTGAGATAGAAAACAAAATATTTGGTCAGATGACACCAAAAAACGCAACATGTGGAGGAAAGTCTGACCCTGCACATCATTCTGAGCTCTGAAACACGGTGGTGGTCTCATTATACTACGGGGATGCGAGTTAAATAAAGGGGTATGAATACTTATACCATATTAAGAGTCTCCAGATTAGTATTTTGCATCTCAGAAACACATTGATTAACTCCATTTATTCTAAAGTTTTAGGAAGGTTCCCCATTAGAAAAAGTTGAAAATTAAGTTTCTGTGAAAAGTTGAGCCTCAAAATGTCGCAAAAGATGCTTAATAAACTTTGTGATATGTCTGCCTGTTCAAGCTTTGTTTAGAGCATCAGGCTCTGAACAAAGTTTAAGATGAGTTATCATATAGTTTCTATTCCAGAGGAGATAAAGAAGAGTAAATTCCATGATCAAGCAGTCACACAATATTGATACTTCAATCAAATCGCTGCGATTGTTCATTTTGTTTGACTTAAACAAATAGAAAACAACTTTTTAAGTTGCGTAAAACATTCCTGAGCTACAGATCCTCTGAGAACTTCTGGCCAATCAGAGTTAATCAATGCTGACGCTCATGTGACTGATGTGGTTGAGAAACAGACGCTCAGGACTGAACACGTTTTTCATGTTTGGTGAATTTCTCCCGACACCCAGACACGTGTTGAGCAAGAACGCTTACTCACGCTCAACACGTCTGATTAAAACAAATGATCAGCTTGATCAGGATAAAGTTATAATCACGGCGAATTACATTACAGATGGGAAAGACAGTAAATTTACAACAAAAAAGTCGACATTTTGATATTAATCTGAGAAATTTTATAGAAAAAACATGCACAATTTCTGAGTTTGGAAAGTTGAAAATATTCAGAAATTCTGAGATTAATTTCAGAAATTTTCTAGAAAAAATGGGAAATTTCTGAGTTTGAAAAAGTAGAAATTTGCAAGAAAATATTCAAAAATTCTGGAGTTAATGTCAGATTTCTCACTTTAAAAAGTTCGACATTTTCAGAAAAACTCAGAACTTTGAAATTAATCTAAAAGATTTTCAGGGAAAAATGTGGACATTTCGACTGATAATAATAGTTTAAGAGCAAACATTTTTTAAACGATATAAACTTTTAAAGGAGGAATTGTTTCAGAGTTTTGCTCTGGTTCTGCCGATTGATGACCTCCTCATTGCCAGGCAACAGGAGCAAACAGTCGGTTTATCACTGCGACCCGAACTGTAAATAAACCTGCAGCAGGTCAAAACTCAGCTGACCTGATCAGGGTGGAAAAGAACTTTATTTAATCTGAGTCCATGAAGACGATGCAGCTTCAAACTTTAAACATTGACAGAGTTCAGATTTTTCTATCCGATTTGAGCTGAAAGTCCCACAAACAAGATCACTTCTGTTTTATTCGAGTCACGTCGGGAAGTTAGACGACACCCAGGATTCACTCTGAAAGGTCAAACAGCTTTCTAATAGCTGCGTCTTTTTAGATGGAAAATCTCAAAATTTCTGAAATTTTCTTACCAAATTTTCAACTGTTCAGATTCGGATTTTTTTTACAGAAAATTTCTTAATCTGCAGAGAAAAAACATCTTGATGAAGTCCAAAGATTTCATCATGAAGGAAAAAAAGAAAAAAATCTGATATTTTCCAGCAATAATTTCTGAGCTTGAAATAAAGAAATTACTTTAAAAAACTCAGAAGTTTTGACCTTAATCTCAGAAATCTTCTAGAAAAACGTTTCTGAAAACCTTTGACTAAGAAAAGTGACTTTTCAAGCTCAGAAATCTTCATGTTTTCTCTAGAAATTTCTTAAATTAATCTAAAAATTTCTGTTTTTTTAAAGCAATTTTTCACCTTTCAACTGATAAATATTCTAAACAAAACAAGTAAATTTCTGAAGCTACAGACTTTCAGTCAAACAGTGAAAATTGGTTGTTGTGCTTCAGGATGCTGAACATTGTGCAGAACATAAATAGAAAACAATGTTGACCTTAGAATAGAACCCTGTGGAACTCCAAAAGACGTCGGTACTGAAGAACAGACACATTGAGCCGACTGTATGCCGGTTCAATACCAACAAACCGAACATTAATAGTTTGTGGAATGCAGCTGATCTGAGAATGACGTGGAATCTGAAAAAAGGTCGTCATTGAGAACAATAAGAAAGTTTAGAAATGAAATAACCAGCAGGTGTAGATGTCTGGGTGATTTGTACAGCTTTCCTCTTGTCATGAGGTTTCAGTCCCAACACAGATCTGAAACCACTGAACTTCTTATTTCTAGATACGAAATAACAAAAGCAATCATTTAATCACCAACGACACAGGAACTGATTGTTCTGAGCTTGATAACATCTGGCGGGTTTATTAGGGACGTGTTGGTTTGTCACATGTGTGCAGGATGTGTGATTGATCCTGAACCTCCTGTGACAGGATGTGCCGCTAAAATACACACTTTTCCTGGCATTTCTCTGCTGACTGCAGCAGATGACTGGACGGCGTTGCTCAAGAACTGATGACTCAGCATTTTCTCAGCTTACCAGCCGAATCTTCACACAAAACCAGAAAACTTTATTTACAGTTCAGTTTAAAAGTTCAAATCTTCTTTATATTCTTTCCTCAAGCTGCCTAAGGGACAGTTTATAGAAAATCAACTTTCCTTTGACCTTTACATCACGTTATGATGTCATTTTCTCATCCAAAACATGTTTGAGAAGTCCTTTATTTTCCTTGGCAACCATTCAGCTGGACCTAGCCCCGCCTTCGAGGCTGTAGCTCAACTCCTTCAGACTAGCCAGCAGAAATTAGCAAACACCTGGTGGAACTGCTTTGTTGTGATAACTTCCTCAAGGCAGAGATTCAGAAAGAGCAGGAGCTTCTTAAAGAGACAAAGACCCAATTTCACAGTGTTAAATTACCAAGTCAAATTTGTTTTTGGTCATATTTTATATAAATATTGTTGTTATAAAAGCTGAAGGCCCCATGGTTCCTTGATTGTTCTATAAAATGTCTATGTGGCTGGAAAATACTTACATTTTGCATCTTGGCTGCACAAAGGAGTGTTATCACAGATCCTTCCTTCCAGCAGATTTAAAGTGTTGATTCCTGATCATATTTATACATTTCTGTTCTATTGTTACTTAAACGGCCTGTTTTAATATGGAAACACATTTTTTACATTTTTCTACATTCTTTTGTAGAAAAATTTTCATAACTGCACCGTATTTTATGTCTCTTAATGCTGTTCTTTATATCTATTTTAAATTCTTATTTTGTGTAAATCTGCTGGACTGGAAAACATGTGACTTTATGTGAGTCAGTCGTTTATTTCTACCAGAATCAGGCAGAAAATGACATAATGGTGATTATTGTTTCCATCCTGTCTGCACATTTACAGCTGGTTTCATCTGAAAGCTGTGAACTCATCAAACTAAACAAACATTTTTAGTTTAATAATTTATTACTGTAAATGTTTTCTTACCAGAATTGCTTAAGATTTAATGTTTAGCAACAGATATGTGAACAAAAATATATTTTTATAGAAGTTAAATACTGCAGCTGTGAGGAAAAAAAACACTTCAGGATCTGATGCTGAAATGTGACCCAGTTTCTTCCACCCAGTCGGGTCAGCATAACGACCCAACTGGGTGGAAGAAAAAAATCAGCTGCAACAGAAAAGCTTCCAGGGATGGATTGTTTAACAGAGAACCAGGAAGAGAAAGCTGTGTGTTTGTTGTTCCTCTAAAGGTGTTTTTACTCACAATGCACTTCCCAGAATGAAACCCGGCCCGTTTGTCTTCAGAACCAGATCGTTCCCCATCGGCTCGTGATTCAGCTTCAGTGCAAACAGTCACATGACTCCATGTGGACCTAAAAAACAAAACATTAACTTCTCACTAAGATATCTCAAATATAGATAAAAATGTGGACATTTCTGGGTTTCAAGAGTCAAAACTTTTAAAAATCTGCAATTTTTAGATTAATTTAAGAAATATTCAAGAAAAAATTAGAAGTTTCTTTGCTGGAAAAGTTGAAACTTTACTAGAATTTTTTTTAAAGATAAATCACAAACATTTGAGAAAAAAACGTAAAAAATTCTGGGTTTTGAAAAGTTGAAAATATTTGACTTTTGGAAAGAGTCTGAGTTTAATAAGTCAAAACTTTTCAACTCTTGAAACTTAGAAATTTGCCTCTTCTTTCAAAAATTGCTGCAATTAATTCAGAATTTCCCAATTTTCTTTTCTAGCAAATTTTCAACTTTGCAAACCAAAAATTTTCTGGTTTATCTAGAAAAAAATTTGAGATTAATCCCAACATCTCAAATGTTTCTAGCAAAATGTTAACTTTTGTAGTTTGGAAATTAAATTGTTTTTGTCAAAAATGTACATGCATTTTCTCTGTTTCTATGTTCAACACTCATATTTTGCTGCCATATGGAACCAGGTTTTCAGGTCGGATACATCCTGCTGTTGCTGATCTGAAAGCAGCGCGACGCGGCGCTGTGGCGAGTCCAGACAGAACCAGGTCGGTCGCTCTCAGGTGACTGCGTGGGTCGGGTCGTCTGCAGATGAAGCTGCACAAAGAGCCCAGAGGAAATAATGATAATAATAATAACCTGGAAGGAGCGGCTGCTGGAGATTCAAAACCCAGAGCAAATATTTCACTGGACCAAAAACCTGCTGCTGGGAGTTTTGCTTTCAACAGTAAAAATCTGAACTTTTTCTTTTATTGTTAATTATTCTTGTTCCTGCAGCATCACTGGAAAATTTCTGAGTTTCAAAACTTGAAAATTAACTTGAAAACTCAAATTCTTTTAATTAAAGATATTTTTCAGAAAAAAAACAAGAACGTTTATGGCTTTCAAAAGTTAAAAAAAATAAAGTGCAGAAAAAAAACAAACAAAAAAGTTGGAAAAGCATCATTATCCTGATTGCACAGTGGTGATCTGTGATGCTGTGGGCCTGTTGGAAGGCTCTGCCACCATCGCTAGGCAATAAGAATCATTTGAGACAAGCCAGAAGGTAATAAAGAATTTATTATAAAATGTATTACACTGTAAAGTGTCAGAATAAGAACATGGCATTCTCAGACATGCAAAAGAACAGAACATAAATAGCAACAAAAAGACTTGTGCAATGTGGCGATTAGACCAAAATCTCCCCGTCAAACAGAAACCGTCAATCGTTCCAGTCCAGTCTCAGTTCTCACAGCAGAAACAAACATTTTCCTCTTTCCTTCCTACCTGTGATCTGCACACAGCAGCGCGTTTCAAGCACACGGCGTTGGCAACAACACAGAACCGTCCGAGACGCTTCGCCGAGCCGCCATGTCTGCAAAGTCTTTTCTCTGCTCAGTGGATCTTTTCTCTACACTCATGTTGCCTTTCTGCGTTTGGTGAGAAATCAGAGCGGTTTGCTGAGTCGATTGGCAAGTTGGAGCTGAGAGAAAAGCGGCTTTAAGAGGCTTATTTTGACTCTGAACACTGGAGGAAGTGAAACACAGGAAATACTGCAGCTCTTCTTATCAGAATGTTTTCAGAAACAAAAACCTCTTGGGATTCAAATACTCGACCTGAAAAATGTCATAATTCCTGTTTTCTTCTGTAAAAACGTTACAAACACCAACTCACAAAAACCATTTCACCAACTTTACCGTCAGCCTCTCCAAACTGCAACATCTGAATAATTACAGTATTTCTGGTCCAGTTTCCACTGCAGACTCTTTATTAGACTTGAAATGTGACAAAACTAATTTAAAAGTAACTTTTCTGACAAGATTTTAAGCAAGTAATCCAATAGATTTATGTAGAAATTCTACAGACATTTCTGGGCTTCAAAAATAATAATAATAATAAAAAAAAAAAAAAAAAAAAACTCAGAAATTTTTAATCTCAGAATTATTTGGAAAAAAAACTTGGAAAGTTCCAAAAATGTTTTTTATAGAAGGTTTCTCAGTTTCAACTTTTCAAATTCATGCATTTCAGAGAAATGCTGAAAGAACAAGAACCAATAATTAAATAGAAATGGAATCATTTATTTGCATCAATTATTTAACTCTTCATGCTTGTTTGAAGTAAATCATTTCTTAGTTTTTATGAAAAAGTATTAGATCCTCTGATTTCACTTATAACATGACTTCTTTAACAATCAAAATTAATAAATTAACTCTAAACACACTCCTACTTCACTGACAAGTTTTGTCTTATTTCAAGTGTCTGAAGATACTGGTACTAGAAACTAGACAGAAAAACTTTTTGTGTTTTTGCAGTGCAGCTCGGTGCTGTAAAGAGGCAAAGTGAAAGAAGATGTGAGGCGACGCGTGGCCGGCCAAAAACCCGCAGTGAAACCGACAGAAGCTCAAATTTAGCTTGGCAGAAGGTGGCGTCGACGCCACTGTGCAAAAGGAAAACAGCCGACACCGTGAACGGCAAGCTGGAGCGTCAGGACGGTCAACAGCTACTGTACAGCAAAAACAGAACAAAAAAATCCATCTTCACAGGCTATTTTCTCTTTATTTTGTGGCACTTTCTATTTAAAGTCAGTAGGACGTCGACCCTGAATCTCAGCCATGATGATTTTTAAAGTTTAGAAACTCAAAAATTTGTCCTTTTATTGGTAAAAATGGCGCAAATTCCTTTTGCTGAAATGGAAAAACGTTTAGCAGGTCCCAGAATTTCCTTACAAACTGTCTTTACAGTTTATGATCAGCAATTGCAGCTCCAATCTGGTCTCTGTTCCTGCTGTAAACATTAAAGGTCCGATGTGTGGATTCTACCGCCATCTGGAGGCTGAAGTCGAAGCTGCAACCGAAACTAAAATGACAGCAAAAACATGGAACAAACACCAGAATCTTTGGTTTCTTCTTTCCCAGGATGATTTAGTGACGAAATCAGGAAAATTATCTGCTGTTGGTTCAGATTTAAAATGTCTACAATGGAAGATAATTAGATTTTTTTTTTACAAACTTCCTCACAAAAGAGAGCAAACCTCTGATTACTGTATTGAATCCAAACAGGTAACAATGAAAAGCTGAATAAAAACTCAGCCTGACAGGAACGGAACGACCAAATATTACGCATCAAAGCAGCTTCAAAACAATCATCAGACAGTAACAGCAGAGAACGTCTCCAAAGCACAAGATTGAGAAAAATACTTTTTTCAGCATAATTGTGGAAACCGTGCAAAACAACATAATGTAGAGCGATTAGACCAATATCTGAACTGTAACATTGATGTTGGCTCAAGTTAGTACAACAAAAATGAAAAAACATTTTTTTCAGGGGAAAATTTGATCAAAACCGAAAGAAGGAAATTATGGGACCTGTAAAACAGAATCATATTAAAAATATGGGATGTCCTGATCACAGAGACGGAACTTTTCATTGGTTCACTGATGTGCGACCTACTTTAATGTACCTGACTTGAAAACCGCATCACAGTTTGCATTTAGAATTAAATTTATAGATAAACAGAGAGACAGTATTGGCTGGTGCAACCAGAGCAGAAAGAAGCTGAAACAATCGTCATTACATTTTATGACGTTCAACCAGAACTCAAATAAAATCGGGTAAAAATCAAACAATCAATGATTCATGTCACAGCAGAAAGTCAACATTTTAGCATTAGCTTAGCGCTTGTGCTAACTGAGCCATTTTCAGCAGCAGAAATAAACAAGTTAAAGCTGCACATTTCTGTTAACATCTGCCAAAACTCTGGAAAAGATTTTGTAGAGGGTTAATTCATTCAATACAAAGAAAAAGAAATAGTACAATGGCCAACAGGTGAAAACATGCAGCAAACACATGAATGATGCGAACTCCGAAACACAAATGCAACAGAAGAACCGCTGTAAACGAAAATTGTTGCGAGTAGCAAAAACTGCAAATATGAAACACAGCAAACTTGCTCCACAAAGCAGAAGTCATCCAGACCAGTAGGGGGAGTCTGGAGTAGGTAGCATTACTGACACCCAATTGTGCTCAATAATATTGTAACAAAACATCTGAAAGTCTAACAAACCTTTCCTCCCTTCTTTCTAATATTGGTAAAAAAAAAACCCCATTAATAACATCCCATCTTTACCGAGTCTGGAACCATAGGCTCGGTTAGTCGACGCCCTCTAGTGTTCTGGAGGACTTCCACTTTGTGAAACGAGTTTACGGTGTTTCCTGCTTGCAGTTGCTCCCATCTTTTTATTTATATTTGTTTAACTGGTTGCATTTGTTCCCCTTTTCTGTGATTGCAGCGTTTTTCGGTTGTAGTTTTTGTTTATTTTTCAGTTTCTGTGTTTGCATCATTCAAGTGTTTGCGTCTCTCAGCCACTGTAAAATACTGACGCAAAATGTCTGATTTTATTGCATGTGCATGATATCGATTTCCATGAAGCATCCGGCTGGAACTCGGGGTTTATTTATCGAATCTGATCAGTATTAGACAAAAACCTGGATCGGGACATCCCTAAAACTCTCCTAAATCGACTTGAAAACAGGCTTTTGTTTGAGTTTTTTCCTAATAAGATTCTTCATAATTTGGGTTTTCTGCCTTAAATCTAAATAGGCAAGGTTTAAACTTTTGATTTTGCTGTTTTAGTGTCAGCAAGGCACGGTTCTTCAGATGTTTGGAAAGAACAGCTGTCGCAACAACAAGACAGTTTGTGCTTTTAGGGAGGTAGAAGGCCCCGAAGGCACTCTGAAAAACACTCTTAATTTATTAATTATACACAAAGATCAACAAAAGGGAAAAAAATAAACGATTGAGATAATATTAGATGTAAAATTGATGGCGGCCTCCTACATAAACACCGACAGGCAGAGTTCTCGGCTTGGAGCTGAAAAACAGACGACTTCTTCACCTGGAGACGGGTTAGTTTTCCTATTTCAACTTGCAGCAGAGCAGGAGGATTATTATTAATATTAATATTATTATTATGCAGCACAATGAGATTAAAACCACAGGATTCCTCTTTGGAGCTTCAACAACATTCATACACTGCAAAAACAAAATCTCACCAAGTATTTTCGGTCGAGTTTCTGGTGTAAATATATTAGACTTGAAATAAGACAAAACAAGTCACTTTTTAGCAAGAAGTATGAGCTTGTTTTAGATCAATAATCACTTAATATTGGTAAAAAGTGCTGCCTACAAGTTAAATAACCTGCCAATATAACAAAATATTTTAACTTGTGTCAGAAAGAAAATGTCTAGTTCCACTAAAACATCACATTAAAGTGAAATAATGTTAATAATTGAACTTAATATTAAAGATTTGTCGACTCAAAACAAGCTCATACATCTTAGTTGTTAACGAGATATTTTAACTTAAAATGTTTTCTAAGAAACAAAACTGACTTTGAAGTATCTTTTCAAATAAATAAGAGCTTATTTTAAATCAATAATTTCTCAACATTGATGAAAAAGTTCTAGTTCCACTAGCAGATAAATTTACTTATAACAAGATAATTTCCCCAAGTAACAACTGAAGTAATTTACCAATAGATCGAGTGATTTTTTGTTAATATTGAGGAATTATTGACTAAAAAAAAACATTTCAACCAATATTTGGTTATAAATAAAATAACTAAATGCTAGATATTTTAACTTATGAGAAAAATCTCTTGCTCCACTGGCAGATTATTTTATTCACAAAGTGGGAAAATGTTTAGTTTCAAGTAAAATAATCTGCAGATAAAATTCAAACTTTTTTCATCAATATTAAGTAATTAATGAGTTAAAACAGGATTTTATTTGTTGACTTTTGTCTTACTTTAAGATATTTTCAGTAGAAATTCTTGGTGAGATTGAGTTTTTGCAGTGGAAATGAATCGTGAGCTGATTTTATGGATTCTACAGCCTGAGCAATAAATTCATACAATTTAACGGACACTGGTTGGTTTATTTAAAGCATTGTTGAGATAAAACTCAATTTTCTCTGTTTTCCAGCAAAACAAACAAATTGGGAAAATGTGTTGTTATAAGTGAAATAATCTGCAAGCGGAACTGGATCAATTTCATCAACATGAAGGAAATATTTATTAAAAGGAGCTGCAATATCTTGATGAAAAGTTTTTTTTTAAGTTAGTTTTGCCTCATCTTTAGTTTACAAAGATATTTGCAGTAGAAATGAGAAATATTTGGTCATGTTTTTGCAGAGTCGAGGAGGGGAGGGTCCGGCTGTACAGGATGTTGGGAAACGGCGAGCAGCTCTTCTTGATTGCACTTCGTTGCTGAAGCTGCGTCAGCGCGATATGACGGAGCTGATTGAGTTGTACGACGTGCCGCCGTTGCAGGTGGGCGGGTATCCGTTGGGCGCGCCGCTCAGCACCTCCATGTTGACCCTGAACACCGGCGACGCCTTGAGCAGGAAGTCCGCCGCGTCCCGTCGCCCCAGCTCCCGCAGTTTGATCATCAGGACGCCGACCGTGCTGCCGGCTCTGCTGCTCCACTCCCGCAGCAGCGCCGCCGTCGGGCTGGGCGGCGGCGGCTGAGAGTCGGCGTCCGGTGAGGCGGCGCCGCCACCGCTGTATTTGGCCACCAGGTCGGTGAGGCCGAGGTTCATGGCCAGCAGGCACCAGTCCTTGCCCAGCGCGTCGGGCGGGTCCAGCATGCGGCACAGCTTCCTGCGGGCCAGCAGAGGCACGTCGGCGATGTGGACGTCGGTCCCCAGCACGCCGCGCTGGTAGACCTCCGCGCAGCCGAACGCCAGGATGCTGCTGAAGCTCTCGCGGTAGCCGCCCATGGTGTTGGTGAGCGAGGTTTCGCGCTGGATCTGGGCGCGGCAGAAGTCTTTGGGCTGGTACACCATGATGGGGGCGTGGTGCTCCCGCAGCTGCTGCGGGCTCAGGTAGTACCGGGCGGTGAGCAGGCCCGGCAGCGTGGAGGCCAGCAGGTTCTCCGTGATGCTGCACACGGTGTCCAGCAGGGCGTAGCACTTGGCCCGCTGCGACTCGTGGCCGCGCACCTGGATCTCCACGCCCTGGCCGTGGTTCACCAGCAGGATCATGGCCTCCGCCCCCGCCTGGCTCACCTTGGCGCCGTTGGTCCACAGGTGGACGTCTCCGTCCGAGTCGTCGGCGCCGTCCTCCTCGGGTTTCTGCTGGTGGCTCCAGCGGCACAGGTTGACCTGCAGCTTGTGGAACAAGCCGCAGGGGAACGGCGTGAGGTGCTCGGCGGGGACGAGCCGCACGCCGCCGTAGATCAGCGCGTCCTCGTCCTCCTCCGTCCAGGAGCGGTGCAGGCCGTTGGTCTTGATGAGCGCCGGGACGTCCACCATGGACGGGTTGGTGATGTCGCGGGCGCAGACGTCCATGGCGTCCAGGACCTGCAGCAGCTCCTCCACGTCGCTCTCCGGCGCCAGCGCCTGCACCTCCTCCAGCCTGTAGCGCCCCCTGTAGTGGTGGATGGCCTTCGGCGTTTCCACGGACAGCAGCTTCCCGAGGACGTTGGTGCAGAGCCAGCGAGGGTCGAGCACCACGACGTCCTGCACCGTCTCGCTCTGCATGATGTTGATCTGCAGGAGAAGCAGAGGAACCTCACCTCACTCACCGTTTGAGGCTTTCAGTGATGAATCTGAAACATTTTTTAAGGAATAAAGTGCTTTTTTGTTTTTATTCTTTTTCTTTCCCCCTTCTATACAAAATACGCGAGACCCCTGATGAACTAACCGATCATTCCTCCTTGAACAGGTTAGGGTAGCTCTATGGCCTACACAAATCATATTCATTACATTTTTACACAAAATCATTTTCAGATTTTAGTCTGAGCTCCTTTCAGAATGAGTTCCCAATAAAAAAATAAATAAATTTATCCTTTTACTTCCATCATTATTTTGCCTTTCAGAAATTTTTTACTTCATCTTTAGAAAAGAAGAGAAATCTGAGAAAAAAGGGACATTTCTAAGAAAAAAGTCTAAATTCTGATATTAAAGTCCTAAATCTTTGTTAGTCCTGATGGTCTTCGCAGCAGAGGCCTGATGAACCTTTCAGGTTCTGACTGAACGTTCCTGACTCAGCAGGGCACCCTGGTGGCCAGCCGTGGTACTGACTGAACCGATGAGGTTCTGGTTCTGGAGCGCGACACCTCACCTCCCCCATGCTGTGCAGCTGCATGGCCAGAATCCGGAGGTGGTCCTGGCTGACCAGCGGGTTGATCTGCTCCTGGACGTCGCTGACAAACTGTTGCCATGACGCCAGCTGGTTGGGCCCGCTCAGCTTCCTCCAGGCCGGCAGCGCGGCCAGCAGGCGCTCCGACAGCTGCGTCATCGGACCGCACCTCTGCAACGATGGAGAACGGGAAGGTCAGCGCCTAATTTCCTGTGGAACTGATTGAATCCCTCAAATTCCTGAGTCATTTTATCTTTTATGGTTTATTTTAGATGTTTTTTCATATTTTCGTTTATCTTGTATTTATTGCATTTCCTTTTCTGAAAATACGTGTTTCTACTTGCTTAATTTATCTCAACAGATTGATTGGTTTTGATGCTGTTATTTAGTGAAAAACCTGAGTTTTGTACATTTTGTTCAATAAAAATAAAAAAATATCCTTTATGATGCCGTTTCAGAAATGCTGCAAAAATCGCACGTTTTCTATCTTGCTTTTGGAAATATGAAACAGTGCAGTAACTGTGATGTTTGCAGGCAGCTGCAGGCCGTTCGGACTCACAGAGATGATGCTGGCGCGCAGCTCCTGCAGGTGAATCCTCAGCAGCTTCAGGTCTTTGGAGTTTGATGCTCCGGCGTCCATCACAAACAGTTTGTCGCTGATCTGCAGGTCGTTCCCAAACCTGGAAACCAGAAAAACTTTTACCATTTTAGACGAATCCAAACGGGATTTTCTTCATTTCCTCCTATTTTTTTCCATGTCTGCAGTTAAAGCGGGTCTTCCCCAGTGAATCATCAGCCTGGCGGGCCACCAGGCTTTTCTTCTCCCCCGCCAGGCTGATTGTCTTTCCTTTATTTATTTTTATTAGTTTTTATTTTTTTATAAATAAGTAATGAAGACTTTGGTTTCCTATTCCAGAGCATTTTAAATTAGATTTTCTTCAGTTTGGTGGCTGTATCTGTAGTTTGATTCCCAACCTGTTCCTGACTTCCTTGAGCAGCGCTCGCTCTTTGTCGTAGCTGAACTCTCCAGAGAACGCTCTGGTGATGTCGGCCAGGTCGGCGTGCGTCGCCACCAGGACGACCGCCAGCGGCTGCTGGATCCGACCTCCGAAAACTGGATGGAAGGAAAATCAAAACATCACCAACGTCAGTAACAAACGTCAGGTTTTCCTGCAACAAGGTAGTTACAGTGATTTACATTATAAAAACACCAAAATTATGAAATCAGCAATAAATGTTACATTTAATAAGCAAATACAGATCAAATATGTTGATCAATGTTCTTTACGATCATTCAGTTCTGAACAGCTTTGATTTAAAGGAAATCGTCTGTAGTTTTTGGAAGTTTGTTTTCAGGTGATGAAAGGCTGAATTTGAAACCATCTGTATGTGACCTTGGAGGTCAGCCCAGATTTTGGGCCTGATCGCTACCCGCTGATAATTGCAGCTGCATGCTGACTCTACAGCAGGGTGTCCAAAGTGTGGTTCGGGAGCCATCCGTGGCCCTTGGAACAACTCAGTCTGGCCCTCGAACTGCAGTTCAGGAAAGGTCAAAGTTTTGTCTTTATTTGAATGACAAATTGATGAAAAAGCAGATTATTTTACATATAACATGGGAATTTGTTTTTATAAGTGAATTGGTAAAACTAGAACTTTTCCAAGAATATTTAGTGACTCTGATAAACTCAACATAAACTTTTTCACATTTTCTCATTTGTCTCCTTCACACTAAGCAAAAGAGGTTTATAATGTTCAAACGTATCAGTCAGAAGAAGGGTCAAAACAATTCTACTGCATTAAATATGTAACAGCCAGAAGTTTACATACACTGCGAATAACAAACTCTTTTCAAGTGTTTTTGGTCTCGTTTTTAGTTTGCCTGAAATAAGACAAAACTGACTTACAAGTAACTTTTCAGTAAGAAATAGGAGTTTTTTTTTAAAGTAAATTATTCCAATAGCTACACTGTTGGGCGGTGGTGCAAATAAATATTTTTACAATTTTAATCGGTGTTGTTTACCGATGTTGTCCTGCGGCGGGGTGAGGGCCTTCAGCAGGTTCAGCCAGTAGGTGATGTGGCCCAGCTGCGTCTCGTACGGCTCCTCCAGGCTGAACAGCACCAGGTGGATCGCCGTCACGTCGTTGGCCGCAAAGTAGTCGTAGGAGCAGTGGTAGACGGGGTTCCCTGAGAACTCCCACACGCTGAAATCACCAACACCTTCAGAGGACAGGAGGAGGTCAGCTTACACCTTAATGCAGGAAAGAATAACTGTCCTATGGAAGCACATTCGTGCCATAAAGAAAAAAACTTTATTACATTAAGCAATAACTGTCCTATTGAAGTACATTCATGTCATAAAAGAAACAAATAAAAGCCCAATAGGAAGTCATCATTATGAGTTTTAAAGTAATAATTTCGGTTTTAAAAGTAGGAATTATGTGATAAGGTCACATTGTTTCAATAAGAATGCTTAATCCTATATCTTAGAATTGACTTTGAATATCAAAATTATGACATTATTTCAAATTCTGAGTTTGAATCTCAATATCAGAACTTTAGAAAATTACAAATATGAGATTCAATCTCAAACTTTTAACTTGGAATCTGAAAGTTATGAGACTGATGGTTAAAATGATGAATGATGCTCATAATTATGACAGAATCTTGAAATTAAGACTAAATCTCAAAAATATGACTTCAAATCTTGTAATTATGACTTCCTCCGGGGCTTTTTTCTTCTTTCCTGGCAGGAATGGGATTCCATACTACAAAGATGTCTGTACAGAACGGTAAAGGTGGATTTCTGGGGTGTTTTTGGCGAGCCTCTGACCGTGGATGTTGGCGTGCTGGATGTCGATGGCCTTGGTGGCCTGGTCGTCCGCTGCCGACAGCGCGCTGTGGACTGGGGAGAAAACCTCCAGCACGCCTTTGGTCAGGCTGGGCTCGAACATCATGCTGCGACTGCGCACGCTCACGTTCTCACAGCCCGGGTAAAGGTTGGAGATGCTCACAGAGACTGCAGAGGAAGAGACACAAACCTGAATCTGCAGAATATTTAGCAACCAGGCCTGGCTGGGTGAGATCTCTGCATTTTGCTCCACAAATATCGACTCCTGTTTACGTATTTCACCGCATTTCTTCAGAGCAGCCAAAACATTATTAAATATTCCTAAAGGTATATTTTTCAACTAAATGCAATTTCTTGTCTAGACTTTCTAAGCGACAAATTTAACAACTCGTTAACTATACTTCTTTCTGAAAATGCAAAATTACAGAATTATTCAATTTTTTTCTTCTTCTTGATTAAAAAATTAGATTAAATTTTTTAGGGGTAAATATTACAAAACCACAAGATGCAGCTCTCTAAAGGAAAATGAACAGGTATTGTGATAATGTATATACATATGTATATATCCTATGGAAGCACATTCGTGCCACAAAAGAAAAAAACTTTATTACATTAAGCAATAATAACAATAATGTATATATATATATATATATATATATATATATATATATATATATATATATATATATATATATATATATATATATATACATTTTTTTTAGCAGATTTTTAAACTTTTGGTATTTATCTAAAACGCCATGCTTTACCACATGGGGGCGCTGTTTTACCGCAAATAAATCCACTTTTTACAGACTTGACATTTGAATTTCCGTCACATGCTGCAGAGCCACACCTACACGCTGTTTTCCTGCAGCTTGCTGAAAACCTTTTATTCCGTTTCTTTACGTACATAAAGTCTCACTTTATTAGAACTGGATTAATTTCACTAAAAGTTCAACACTTAGATGTTGAACTTAACTATTTAAAACCTTAAAAGTTACCGACAAAGTTAAATTAGATTTTTTATTATAATAAAATCATAATAAATTGGTCAGTTGTGTAAGGCCAATATATATATCTTTTATTAACTGAATTGGTATTTGTCATTTCTGTAATAGTATAGACTTTTTTTTCTAACACTGGTCTCATTCGAGAGAGAAAATGAGAAAAACAAACATAATGAAATCCATAACAGAAGTTTTTTTCTGTTCTTCAGTATATATTTCACGTAGGATGTGTGGCTACCTGCAGGCTTGGAGTTGACGGGGGAGTTGGGGTGTCGTGCTGAGTTGGTCATGCGCGTCGTCCTGCGCCTCCTGAAGAAGCTGCGCAGGATGCCGCATTTCAGCGACTCCAGCAGCGTGCTCTTCCCAGACCCGGAGTGTCCGAACAGCTTGAGTTTGATCCTGGGCTGGATGGTCTGGGTGGGACGCAGCTGCTGGATGTAGCTCAGTTTGAGGTTGTCCTGGTCATGAGGAGAGAAAAATGTATGTTTGTCTGCTGCTTAAAATGAATGGAGGTATTAACGCCATGCTAAAAACATCAAACATGGATAATAAAGACATGAGGACAAAAGCATATAATTATGAGAATAAAGTTGTATTATGACTAATAACATTATTCATAGTAACATTATTATGACCAGATTTTATTCTGGTCATAAACTGTATAACTGTAGAAAATATATATTTTTGTGCAGTTTTGGCTTAATTATCCTTACCTGATTTATTTTAATTATTTACTCCAGTTAATAATTAATAGATAACCAAATCAGACGATAATTTCAGTAATTGATTAATCACGATTCATTTGATTAATTGTTTCAGTCCTTTTTAAATGTTATTTTCTAACTGACCTTCAGCAACATTTTATTGTCAGAAAAGCTGAAATTTGTCTGAGCTGTAACCCAGAACTGTCACAATAAACAGAAATGGATAAATAAATCTAATGAATTTAAAGCCTGAACATCAAGCTGTGCATGTAAAACCTAAAATCAGTTTTTGAACACTGCGCAGCAACATGGCTGCGCGTAACGCTGCCAGTGAAACGCAGGTTAAGCGTTGAGGTCGTCCAGCAGATGAGTCAGGATCATCATGGCCTCCAACTCTGAGTGGGACGTGAACCACTCCTCACTCCCACCGGGCTGCGCTGCTGCATTCACTAAACGGACATCTTGTTTCCACTGGCGGTGGTTCAGAGTGCAGCATCTGCGCCCCGTTTAGTTAAAGCAACATGTTTTTTTCCCTATCCTGGCCTTGAGAAGAAGTCAGTCTTTATCAAATCTGTTAGTCTTATTTTAGCTCAGCATATGCAGATGATGACTGTTTTCACAGTTGCTGCTTTCATGTTTTCACGCTCCGCTCTGAATCTCAGCAGGTTCTCAACAGGATCACACTTTCACAGGAACCTTTCAGATTTTTAAACCTTTTTAAAAACAAAGTTAAAAAGTTTAAGGTCAATAAAAATCACCTCTGCTGAGTCACTTCACTTCATGCAGTTTGGATATTCTTAACAGATCTTGCCTGCATAAATGATGAGTCTTTAACAATCAGCATTTTCCATCAACAGATCGTTTTATAACATTAATTTATGTTTTGAATCAACTACTCAAACGTAATGTTAAATGTTGACATCACAAATGGCTTAAATAAACAGGAAGCAGATTTGCTAGCTTGCATCATAGAAAACCAGTTTTTGTTTTTTAGTTTCATGCCTCTGGTAAGGCTCAGACCCACCATGGATGAACGCGTTCACCATTTGAACTTATTTATTCTTTTGTGCTTTAAATCTGTTCTGGAAAAGTCAAAAACAACCTCAAGTAAAAACATTTGTCTTGTAATATTGAGGAACTTATTTCGAATTTTGCCATTTTCATCAGTCTTTTCTTCTAAGATATTTAAATAGGGCATAAAAACAAACATTGATGGAAACATTTAATGAGAGGTTTGTGAATTTGTGCATTTTGATCGTCTTTCTGCACGTTAGGAGTCATAAACCTGCATAAGGAAGCAAACGCCTGTGAAAACCTCCATCCTTCCTCTGGCAAACTCTTAACATCTAACGCGTTTCTATCTTCGTCTCGACACCTTCACACCAAAATAGTCGAGTGTTGAGGCTGTGAAACCTGACTCTGCATCATCATTCTACATTTGGAAACTACTTGCAGACATTCAAAGCAATATTTAAATAGTTTCTCTTTTTTTAAAGTGTTGAAGTTTTTTTTTTTTTTTACCTTTTTAAGCTTTCCCAACAAATCCACGATGTGTTCGTGATGATCACCAGCAGCCAAATCCTCGGCTGTTTTTCCATCCTGGAGGGAATAAAGTCGACATGGAGAAATCAGATTATTTTTGTTTAAACAACAAGAGTTGCATGAATAAAATCAGACATCATTAGCATGTAGCCAATAATGTTTTACACTTCATAAACCAGACAGATGACTTATTGGCTTCATGTTATTCATAAAAAGAAAAGTTAATTTTATATTTGAAACATTGTTGGATTTTTATTAATTTAACCAACATGTTGCCATCTGCCATTGATTCTAGCTGCAAATATGTAAACCTAACTATTAATGTTGTGCAAAATGGAGGCATAAAAGATTTATTTATTTTTTCTAATTTGGGAGACCAAAAATAACTCCAGCCCAGGGCCCTTATTTTTCTAGAACCAGCCCTACTGGGGCTAAATCTAGAATCTGGACCACATTTGGTGATAACCTAAAATACTAGAAAATGTTCTAGGAACTTATGCATTTCAGAGTTTCTATAAGATGCATATTTAGACTTAGTGTTGGTACAAAAACCGTGAAGTTTAATGGATTTTGGCAGCGGGATTGTGTCAGAATGAAAACAATTACAAACTTCCCACCAAACAATGAAACTGTTTTAAACAGGGAGATATTTTACTATATAAACAAGGCCGTGTTGCTTATTGACTGTAGTATTTACAGGCTTACGTTTGTGACGGCGTCGATGTTTGCTCCGGCCAGACAAAGATGGCGGACGACCTCCAGGCTCCCGTTTCCGGCAGCCAGGTGGAGAGGAGTCCGTCCATGCTGGACGACAAAATGAAAATTCAGTTCGTTTTTATTAGTAACCATCAGTTAAATTTGTTAGCAGTTTTAATTATTCATAGGTAAATTATTCCTCTGTAAACGGAGGACGGCATCGTTCCCACTCCCTCACTGATCGGCTCACATCGTTTCCAGCTGACGGAGAAGACGAACGCAGAGTGTGACAGAGTGTGATGCAGTCTGCGAAACGCTGCTTTCTGTGAGCAGCGTGAATAAGTGAAAGTGAAGCATAAACCCCTCCATGTCTGGCAGCTATGCACCACCACCCTGTCACAAACATTCCTGACTGAAAGCAGAATTTGTTAAAATGCAGAGAGTCAAAGTGGGAAGAGAAATCAGCACCGAGTCGAATCGGATTTAAATCACAGAGAAAAACAGTTTTTCATTCCAACAGAATGGAGGAGAAATCAAGTTTTAACAACTCAATGGTGAAAACAAAATGTAAAAACAGGACGTCATATTCTTACTTTCAATTCAACAAAGCTGCGTCTAATAAGGTGATTATTTTAGTTATTGATTAGAAAGTTGGCGCATTCTGCAGCCTTTTTAAATATTAGAAATACATTAAAACAAGTCAACAAAGAAAATATGGAAATATTAGCTTTCCACGTCTATTTTTGCTTTTCGTTTTGTCACTTGAAGATTTGTGTTTATTATGATAATTAGTTTCATATGATCACACAAATTTCTAAGGTGTTCATTGTGTGAAAAATAAGAAATCGTACTTAGAAGAAGATTAACATTTTATGTCCTGAATCTGTAAAACATATTTACAGGAAAAGTTTTTCATGTTATTTTAAATGATATTTACATGTTTTTGCACCGTTTTGGTTTAATTATTGCTCTGAATATATTGTCCGTTCAACAAATCACCTCTTTTGAGTCCAGTTAACTAAATTAGTTGGCGATTAATGTAATGATTGATTGATAAATCAGTTCAACTAGTGGAGCATTCCTGATGACCGGAGCTCACCTTGTTGGGCAGGTCCAGGCTCGCCTTGGCGCCGCACATCGCCGTGACGACCGCCAGGTTTCCGTCCTTGCAGGCGATGTGGAGCGGCGTGTTGCCGTGGCGGTCCTGCTGGTCCAGGTGGCAGCGCTGCCTGAGGAGGCAGCGGACGACTTCGACCTGACAGCGGCGGACCGCCAGGTGGAGCGCCGTGTGGCCGTCCTGCCGACAGAACCGGGTCGGTAACGGGTCAAAACCGGGCCAGAAATTTAAATAACAAAAAGAAATAAAACTAATGACTCTTAGCCTGGCTCTACTATTGCAACAAAATGTAACTGAGTTCAAAGTACAAATAAGTAGAAGCTGTGAAACATGCTTGTCAAACAAGATGGACGCCCTGGTGTGATGACATCACCAGTGCATTGGTGGCAAAAAATAACTGATAAAACTGAATCCCAGTGGAAACAGGAAGTGTGTTCACCTTGTCCGTGGCCTCCAGGTCCGCCTTGTGCTCCACCAAGCACTCCACGATGTCCATGAAGCCGCGGGCCGACGCCGTCAGCAGCGGACTCTCCCCCTCGCGGTTCTTGGCGTCAACATGGCAGCCGGCCTGGCAGAGCGCTCTGGCTACAGCGGAGTAGCCGTGCCACGCCGCGCAGTGCAGCGGCGTCTCCTGCTCCTGCAGACCAGAAGATAAATGGAAAGCATGAAGTTCTGGTTCCCTCGTGACCTTTCTGTCCATCGTGTTTGACCCGGGGGCCGACCCTCACCCGGTCCGTCAGGTCTGGATTGGCCCGGATGCTACACAGGTAGCTCACCACATCCACGTTTCCGTAGCGAGCCGCCACATGAAGAGCCGTTTCTCCAGACTACAGCAGAAAAACAGGATTTAGAGAATTACAACCTTAAAGATGAACCTGTTCACCTCTGGACCAAGTTTACTGCTGAAAATCCAACATGGATCCAAAGTGTCTCCATACAGCCGCTAGCAAGAGACAAGTTAGCATACCATACAGATCATATGTCAGATTTTAGCGGTTTAAGATTCCTCTTTATTCGTTGGTGAAGACCAGAAACCATTTCTCCTGCTAGCACTAGGCTAGCATGTCTGCTTTGGTTACGTTTACCCAGAATGCCCTGCGCTGTGGTCCACTTCCTGGTTTTTCATCTGATAGTGTGCTTTTGTAACGTATTTTTAATAACTTTTCTGACTCAAATTTAAGCATTTTTTAAATCCTCTATATTATTAAATCCTCTTGGGAATCTTTAGATACTCATTATATCCACAGAATCTCATATGGACCAATTTTTATTTACTTGCAGTGAAAAACTGCTGAATTTTACGTGCCAAATTTAGGATTTCTTTTTAAATGCTCTTAAAGGCCTCGTCTCCGGTAACAGCAGAGATCCAGTAAAGATGCACCCTGGGTGATGAGTTTGCTCGTTTGTGGGAGACGAGGCCACTTAGAATAAAATCTAATGGAAGCAAAATACTTTGTAAAGTCTGAAGTCATCCCTTGTTTCTTTATATTTAGCCGTCACACTTTCATATCGTCTTTAAAGTGGACTTGATCAATAGTTTCCCAGACTTCCTGACGATTTTAAAAGTTGACTTTGAACCTTTGGATCATTTTCCACCGATTTCAGAAATGAAAAGATTCCTAAACATTAGAGATGAATCCTCGTCTAAATATCTTCACAGTTTATTCTAATTCCTCCATTAAATCTAGAAACACAAAATATTGGCTTAAATAAGGTGATTCTCAAAATTAAGGAAAACTTCTTTTAAGTTTTCTGGCATTAAATAGAAATGATTTTGGTGAATCTAAGTGACTGATTTAACTTCAGACAGTGAGAAAAAAACGTTTGTGTACGAAATTATTTGTAAATAATGTTTTACAAATTTGGAAAGTGCTTGATTTGGAAATCAAGCACTTTCCAAACCTTGAAAGCGCCGAGATGAAACTCAAGCATTTTAGAGGAAACTGCTTCTGGGATTGAGTGAGTCACACTGAGATGTGTATAATCAAACCCACACCAGCAGCATCAAAAACACACACACACACACACACACACACACACACACACACACACACACACACACACACACACACACACACACACACACACACACACTCTCACCCACCCACACACACTCCCACACACACACAGACACACACACACACGCATACACACACACACACACACACACACACACACACACACACACACACACGCATACACACACACACACACACACACACACACACACACACACACACACACACACACACGCATACACACACACAGGCCATCTTTCCCCGTCTCCATAGCAACAACAAATAAGCCGATAAATGCCACAGTAACTGCTCTTCCCTCGGCGTTGGTGTGTTTGTGTTGGTGTCCAAGCGGTCGGCCGGGTGGGAGGCGGAGAGCAGCTGAGTATGAGGCCGTGTGTGTGTGAGACTCGCCTTATCCTGGACGTCCAGAGGGCATTTCTTCTCGTGCAGGAACCTCAGGGTGTCGACGTGTCCGTGTCGGGCTGCGTAATACACGGCGTTGGCTCCGCTCTGACGGGACAGCGTCACACGTTTCACACATACTTACAAAACAAACCCCTCGTCTTTTCACCCGGGACGGTTTCAGGGACCTGCTAACATCCTGCAGGCAGAGCCGCATTAGTCCAGCTGCTGCCATGGCAGCGGTGAACCAGAGCTGGCAGCAAATGTCATTGTGTTTAATTTGCACATCCATTATCGTGACGGCTCAGAAACAGTCCTCGCTAAACGAGAGGAAGACGGCGTGTCTGGAAGTAAAACGTGTTGTGTTTCAACCAAAACTCGATTTGCTGGTGACAAAAAAAAAAATTCATTAACTTTCTTTGCACAAAATCTTAGTGTTTGCCTAATTTGAGCTCCTTTCAGGTTTGGGGTTCCTGTCTCTTTAAATGAACTGCTGGAACTCAGCTGGGGTTGCTGGGTAACGGGTCGGGGTCCCTATTTGAGGGGCAGCGCCTGCTGATTTATGACGTCACATTCTGGAGGTTTTTGAAACGGCTCATTTTCCAGACACCAAAAAACTAATTTATTACCAAAAACCAGCTGGTGATTTTTTATTTTTTTATTTTAAGAAACAGGAGAAATGGCCCAAAGAGTGATATTCAGTCGCAGCCCTAATTGCATATATGACACAAATATGCAATAATTCATTTTGTGAATCAGTCTTACCAACATAAACAAGCTTAATTTAATGCATTTGCAGTGAAGAGTCTCTCCTCACCCCAGATGTAATGAACCTAATTGAGTCTAATAAACTCCTCAGCTGGATCAGAATCACAACAAACACGTCTCACCTTGTCGTTGGCCTGGATTTCTGCACCTTTTCTCATCAACACCTCGATGATCTGAATGTTGCCGCAGCCGGCTGCAATCAGCAGCGGCGGAGTCCCATGCTGCGGAAAAAACAAACGAAAAGACATCATTAAGCTTTTAGTTTATCTGGAACTAATGAGCTGATAATGAGAAACCAGCTCAGAAAAAGAGAAACTTCTGACTGAAAGATTTCAGTTTCACCTTCAAAGCCCCTTTTTGGCAAAAGAAGGAAAGAGAGAAAGAAAGAAATGAAGCAATTAAGGAGGGAAGGAAGACAAAAAAGGAAAAAATAAAAGGAAGGACTGAAAGAAGGAAAAAAGGGAAGGAATATAGAAAGGAAAGAAAAAGAGGACAGAAATCAAACATAGGAAGGAAAAGTGTGAGAAGGAAGGAAGGGAAAAAGAAGGAAACTGAGATGAAGGACAACATTCCTACAACGTAAATCTGCAAAACATCAAAAACTAAGAAATCAGTTTGATTAATTTTTTAATTAATCTAAAAATTTGAAAAAACAAGGACATTTCTGAGTTTGAAAAGTTTAAAATGCGCTAGAAAATTTGTAGATTAATCTTATAAAAACCTGTAAGTAAAATCCTGACATGTTTATGAATGAACTGCCGGGAACACGAAGCCTGCGCTGCGTCTGCAGCTCAGCAGGACGGTTGGATTATTGACCCTAATAAAATCCTACCTGAGAGCAACTTCGGCATTTCCCTTTGATCAATAACCAAATCTCACACCTGATTGGCCCATTTAACCCTTTGATCACCTTCAGACAAATTCCTGTGCAGCTCACATTTCCTTATTTAGATTACAGCTAAATAAATGTTTGATTAGCTGAATGACTTCCAAATTCTGTCAGTTTATACACATCCGTCTGTAAAATCCCTAATTTTTCACTGAACATTCATTTATAAAATAATAAACTTGCAACATATTAATGCGAAGCGTTTCTGAATTTACAGTAAACAAGTTTAATTTCTTTCATTTCCCCAACAGAGGCATCAGGAAGAGATTCATTATATGTGTACCAACTGTAAGAAATAAAATATTCTTCTGTGATTAATAGAATTTGGTTTGTATTATTCAATGTTTAAAACAATATATGCGTTTGTTATGCTAGCTTGGTGCTCTTGAGGGCCTCCTAGTGGTGTGGAGGGTTATCAACCTCTGGCGTATGTTGGACTTTCAGCTGCTTCACAATGGAAAATCTGCCTGGGACGAAAACTTGCTAATTTTTTCAGAAATTTTGCGACTCTAAATCTCGCAGGACAGAATAAGAGCAGCGGAGAATCACCTTGTTGGGCTGGTTGACGTCGTAGCTGTTCAAAGAGCCGAGCAGATGCTGCAGGCCGGGAACGTTGTCGTCGTTTATGGCGTGGATGATGGCCTTCATCACAAAGGAGTCTTCCTCATCCTGGTCAGAAGGAGAAAAGACATTTCTGTCACTCTGTGAAATTTATTCAGTTTCTGCCCGTCTTTTTATCTGCAGTTTGATAGAGCAGCGGTTTTCCAAAGTTGGAGCGAAGATTAGAGATTACATGCAAAAAGTACAAAAGAATATAATTCTACTGAATGTTTTCCAAATAATTTTAAAAATGAAAGTCTAGTCTAATTTATTTAAATGTTATTTCTGATGCTCATTTTCTGATTGGCTGCCAGCCGAATTCATCAAACTGCTTTTCTCCTCCAGCAAGAAATGGCAAAGAACCAAAGGAAAAATCCATAAAAACAGGGAATAAAATAAAATTTGAGGGGATTTATATGAAATGTTACATATTTTCTTAGAGTCAACAGAAGGGATTGTGTTGAAAAGTCATGATATATTATCTAATGATACTTTCCGCCACAGAACTCCTGTTGTATGAGTCAGCATTAAAATGAACGCAGGAATTATGCAACAGTAAATAAAAACATTTTTTTGGATGATATTCTGTAGCTTTTTCTGTGGGTTTTTACAGCGTGGCGAAGTTTGGGACCCTTGAGATCAAATAGTTTGCGGAGCTCATGTTTGGGCTGCGATGCTCTGCTACAAAGAGACGAAGAGCGGCGGGTCGGGAGGTGAAGAGGACGGAGGAGAGGAGCCTGATGTGGCGTTTGCTCAACGCCGCAGAAACATCCACATTGATGTGGATGTTTCTGAGGAGAAACTGAAGCGCCTCGCAGCGCTCGGAAACAAAACGTTACGTTAGCTTTACATGAACATCAGACGTCGGGGATTCTACAAAAGCAGCCAATCAGACTTGAGGGTCTCTCTTTGTCCCGCCCACTGAGTTTAACAGTTTAAATTAATTCATGATGTGCACAAAAATACAAAATAATTATATTTTTTTTATAAAATTAAATCTACCCGGTTTTAATTTAATTGGGGCTTAATTAATTCATTCCTTATTAAATAAATAATTTCTCTATCTTATTCTGTTTTCAAAAATTATAATATATAAATAATGTTATTAATTTATTGTAATTTGGCGTTCTTCGCTATATTTTCAAGAAAAATGTGAAAATTATTCCACAGCATGAGGCCACAAACTAAGATATTGAGATACCCAAGAAAGTTCAGTGGAAGAAAAAAGTTAGTAAGACAAAAATGTACCAAAAAGAAGAAAAACTGCAGGACAAAAGAACTGAAACCAAAGTTAAACTTAAGACTTTTGGGAGAGATTTACAAGGATTGTAGCAGATTTACTGTATTTTAATGTTTATTAAAGAACGTTGAGGATTTCTCAAATCGAGTCTTTCTGCTTAGAATAAAAACAAAAATTTAATCACATCCAACCTTTACTGCACCAGCTGCCACAACACCTCTAAACCACTTCAGCCTGACCAGCTCAGCCAATAAAGCCAAAGATCCAGAGCAGAGCTTTCACTGAGGCCGCAGTTCAGACTGTAAACTACAGGAGGCGCTGCAGTCACAACAACCAAATTCACCTGAGACAGAAGAAAGTTTCAGTGATGTGGCTTTGCTCCACCGTTAAGGCTCTGTCAATGATTTAACCTCAAACACCAACAGCATAAAAGGGTCAGTGTGACAAACCGACTCATCCATTTCCTACCGGCTGAACCTGGTTCAGAAAAACCGGAAAAAATCAAATAAACCCGTTTTAGATTTCTGACAAAGATAAAGCAATCAGTAGAAAGAGAGCTAGCCAAGATGAAAAAGAGGTTTGATTTTAATAAGTCATCATTAAATAAAGAAAAAAATACATTTGTGGTATTTTCTGGAAATCGGATCTATAAAAATGTGAAGTTGCAGGTAAATGGAGTTGAGACAGGCAGAAATCATTCTAGACACAAAAATTAGCAAAAATCTAATGAAATATTGTTTAAAATAAAAACATAATAAAAGGATTACATATTGTTTATGAGCTATTTGTCTTATTGCTCCGAAATCTGGGGAAATGGAAGTAAAACTACAATTCATAGATTAGTTAAGTTAAAAAAATCCTTTAGGCTTATTAATAAAAAGGGATATTTCATAAACCAACTAATAAACTCTTTATTCAAAGTAATACTTCAAAATGTAAACATATCTTACATATAAAAATACTGGAATGATAAAAAGGTTTTTCTTCTGGAGTTCAGAAATTATTTAAGTTAAGAATAAATAATTTGTGACATTTGTTAATAGTATATATATATATATATATATATATATATATATATATATATATATATATATATATATATATATATATATATATATATATATTTTCCTTTTCTGGTAAATTATGGGTTTGTAAAGTCGTATTTTGTTTTCTGTTTGTAATGTTGATCTTTTACCAAAATAAAGTGAAACTGAACTGAGATTGTCCAGCAGCAGCAGGAGCAAATCCGCATCAATGAACTTGATCTAAAACTGGTTAAATAGTCCAATTATCTCTGGGTTTCCCCTTTAACCAGTCGGCTGATCGGTGAGGATAACAGAAACAATCTTTAGTGCTGCAGGCAGACAGACAGACTGCAGAGTGGATAAGGATCTGGGATGTAATGTGGCTGAACCGCCCAGCCCATCCTGAACCGGTTTGGGTTTTTCGTGGAGCCGGGACTCACCAGCGTGTCGTCGCTGCGCGCCACGCTGATGTTGCTCCTGGACAGGAAGGAGCGCGACAGGCGGTTACATAAGGAGATGAGTCGGACGGATTGCTACAGGAAGAAGAAGAAAGAAAACGAGCACAAGTTTAGCAAGTTCATGTCGAGTCACATTAAGGAGACTCAACGATCAGACAAGCAGACATGCAGAGGGATTTTCTGCTCCACTTCTGCCAGCATCCCACTGACCCACTGGTGACTTGGTTGCATGAAAACTCAGTGCAGAATTGCTTCAGTGTTGCAGGACAGTGCAGCCCCAGATCTTAGTCTTGTCAGAAAATTTAAACATACATTTTAAAAGGGGCGTATTATGTTTTACAGGCACATTGAGCCATTTAATAACACACTCCTGAGATGTTAAAAAAATGCTAAGACGTGAAAGAAATTTAATGCCTTGAAATTGGGTCTCTGTGTCTTTAAGAAGCTCCTGCTCTTTCTGAAGCTCCGCCTTCAGGAAGTCGTCACAACATGGCTCCTCTGTTAACCCTCTAATGTTTTTACAAGTAGTTTGAACAAGTTTTACAAAACCGTGGAAGCATTTTTAATATTTAAAGTCTCTAGTCATTCGGAAGTTTATCAGACTTGCCAGATTTAATTAAGGTGGATTGTCAAGTTTAAGGATTTTGTAAATATTGCTTTCCAGTCATGATAATGAAATGCCAACAGTGGAGAAAGAACTCAGGGAGGAGACAAAAACAACAGGACTGGCATTTAGCTACTGATAATCAATGCATTTTATACAGTCTGGTGCTTTGTTGAGTCAGTTAATGGGAGTCGAAGCCGGCGAGCAAACAGAGGCTTCATCAAGTTATACAACAGCAGCAGGAAGTGAATTAATGACAGAATCACTTACTTTCCATTTCCTTCGAGCTGCAAACTTCTTAAACTTCTCCATGTTGACGGCCGACTCCTTCCTGCTCAGCACCTGCTGAGTGTCTTTTGGCTGATTTCACAAACAAGACCAAAGAAAAGAAAAAAAAAAGCTTTAAATCTAAAATGAAACAGCAAACAATGGCAGACCAAAAAAGCCTAAAGGATATATATATATATATATATATATATATATAATATATATATATATATATATATATATATATATATATATATATATATATATATATATATATATATATATATATATATATATATAGAAAGGTAAAGATTATCCAGAGAGGAACAGAGTCTAACCTTGATCCAGGGGTGCTGGAGGGTGTCCTGAATCGTCATCCTCTTTCTGAAAACAGAAATAAATAAGCCAACATGAACAAAAAATACAATTTTTATCAAGGTTATGCTGTTTTGTATTTCACAAGAGAAGAATTTATCCTGCACATTGAATGAAAACAATAAAACAAAAACAGTCAACAAAGATGAAAATGAGCTGCTGAGGATCGACTGTAATTCAAACCAACGACTGGAATCCAGTTCCTTAAAAATATAGAAATGAATCATCCTTTAAATGTTTACATTACTTTTTGTTTAACCAGACTAAAAATGTTCCTCTGTGGGATGTTAACCACTCTTCAAAACAGGAAAAACAAGAGAACATATCACTCCAATAAGGCCGATGAGGAGTCAAATGGTTTGATGCACATAGATTAGGGCTGAAACGATTAATTGGATTAGTAACGATTAATTGGAATGATCATCAACTAATTCAGTAATCAATTAATTGTTAACTGGAGGATTCTGATTCACAAAAACACTTTTGGCTAAAATGACAACTAGAGCTTCAATTCAACCAATATCATACAAAAAAAATATACATTTTGTATTTAAGATAATAAAATAAGAACTTTTTTAAATTATGTTTTCTGCAAAAACTCCAAACCAGTACTTTAGTTCAGTACTAATATTTAGAAATTATTTTTTTAAAAACAAGCATCTATATCTTGTTCAAAAGTTGCATATTTTAATTTAGTCTCATTTCAACTGTACTAAGATATTTGCACTAGAAACTTGACCAAAACAAATCTGGTAATACTTTGTGTTTTTGTTCTGCCTAAAACTTTGAGGAGCATCAGAAAAAGCTTTAGTCCAAAATAATCCTCATGTTGCCTCTTAAATATCTTCATCAATCTTCTTTCTTGCCAAGATGATTCATGTCTGATCATGATGCGGATCAATTCAGAAACACATCCACCGAGTTGAATCCAGTCTGTGAATCTAAAACTGGATCATTTATTCAGCTTGTCGTCTTTCCCAAATGTTTATTTTCTTTCTTAACAAATGAAATTACCTCCACACCTACGGCCCTGATTCACACTCCTTCCTCTCGCCTCATTAGGCCGAAGGAGAAAGCGGCGATTTAAGGAAAGAAAAGGGGGTTTGATGGCATTTACTGTCTCTGGGTGCAGCTACAGCCATTGAGCTGTTGCTGGAGCAACTCTAATGAGGACCAAACACAGTCAGAACAATTTCAGGAACCAGCGCCAGAGGACATTTTGCCCAGAAACAAGGAGGTTGTGTTCAGAATATCTGTGAAAATCTGGCCAGAAACACAACATGTACAAGCTGAGCATGAGGAACTAATTCACAGTCACTGCGGATCCAGTCCAGGGATAACAGCAAAAACAGGATTTCATTTTCAGGGGGCTCAGAGATTTTTGGTCCAGACTGGTTTTATTTACAATGTCCTGGTATTTACTCTGTTCAGGTTCTGGATGAGGAACGGGTCCAAATCATCATACTCATTAGCATCTGGTATGCTGTCCTCTACCAACACCCACAGCGCACAAACTCAGCAAACTCAGAATGGGTCACACATGATCCGCCTGTGTCCCGTCAGGTCAACTAGAATCAGCCCTGAACCTTCAGAACCACATAAAGACAGTCACAAAGTCGGCCTTCCATCACCTGAACATCTCCAGGATTAAAGGACTAATGTCCCAGCAGGAGGCAGAAGAACTCATCCATGAGTTTATCTTCAGTTGCACTGATCACTGCAGATAAATCAGCTGATCCAGAACGCTGCTGCTGGCGTTCTGACTAAAACCATAGAGCACATCTTCCCAGGTCCTTCGCTGAGAGAAGAGACTTTAAACTACTGTTGGTGGTTTATAAATCACTGAACGGCTTAAAGATCTGCAGCTGGAGTGTAAACCTTGCAGACCCCTCAGGGCGAACATGGAGAAGCAGCATTCAGCTTCTATGCACCACAAATCTGCAACAAACTTCCAGAAAACTGTAAAACAGCCGAAAACACAGAGTTCCTTTAAATCTAGACTAAAACCCACCTGCTTTTAAAACATGGTCAGATAAAACTGGGCTGACATGAACAACTGATATCTATTTTGCTTTTGGTTGAAACAGTAGAGAATTATCTGTAATATCGGTAAATATTAGAAATAACAGCAATACTAATATCAGATATTGGCCTAAATCTTCATTTTGGTGCATCCTTAATTTGTTGTTTTTATTCTGTTATTTTTTTTATTCAACCATCAAATTGGTGTAAAATGCTTTTCCACCCATTCAGCTGGTTGCTTTTGGTACAGATTTAGATTTTCTACATTTTACAGAGACAGAATAAGCTGCTGCCATCAAAGATGACTTTATATTCCGCCTTTGTGCGCATGCTAACCTGAGATGCTAACACATTTTTACTGGAAATATTGAGAGAGGAAGGTTGTGCATACTTTGGATCTTTGATAAGAAGCCTCCTAATGAAGTCTTTGGCCAGAGCGCTGGTGTTGCTGAAGAACTCTTCGTCGAACGTGTAATCGACGGCCGACACGTTGGCCAGAGTCTCCTGCTTGTTGTCGCCCAGGAAGGGAGAAGCTCCACTCAGCCTGCATGGAGGAAATAAACCGCGTCAGACTCACAATGTTCTCTAAAATGCATTTCTTTACAACGTACAGCCTTATCTGCTGTAACAGGAACATGTTTCTTTTTCCATCTAAAGCCAAATGGGTTTAATAATCAAACAGCAGCGGATCAGAGGAACTTGATTCAAACACTTATTCATCTAATCACTATTCATCTGCTGATAAGATTTGCTCCGTCAAGCTGAGATTAAGGCCTTTGATGGGGGAATGGTATTAGCGAGCTGAGTAGCAGCTCATGGTGACTCATAAATCCTGCTTTGCTATGAGACTCAAACTATTTAGTGTGTGCTGGCTGCAGGACAGCCAGCTGGAGAGCTCCCAGTTTGGGTGGAGCGCAGGAATGTTAATGCACCTTCACACCAATCTGCTGATTTCACACATAAAATAGAAGCAGATGCAGCAAATGAGATGCTAACACATCTCATCAGAGTGCACACAGCCATGAGAGAGAAGCATGTCTGGGCAGATAGGAGGCCAATTAGGACAACGAAAAAACCCTTCGGGGTTCCTCATTGAGAGGGAAAAAACGGCGTTTTGCTCGGCCAGCCGCTAATTAACATGTGAGCTGGGAGGAAACACGGAGGTGGTGCGAGGTCAAGCTCAACCTGAGTGGGAACGTCATAAAATCAGGATTCAAGTTCGGCTGCAACTCATGATTATTATAGCAACGGATTATTCTGACGATTAGTGGATTAATTGGATCAAAGAAATGTGAACATTCTGCATATTTTTATTTAACCATGTAAGTTTATTTTCTACATCAGAGTTGAAACAATTAATCGTGACGAATCGATTCAAATAATCGCCAACTGACTTAGTAATCGTTAAATGGAGGAAATGGACAGTAATTGAGATAAAACTGTACAAAATACATTCATTTTGCATTTAAAGCTGCAGTATGTCACTTTTATAGAAGATAAATGTTTTTACATATTTTGCTGTCACCATGTCGTGACGATACGATGAGAGACAGAAAATCCCAATGCAACTAGAAACAACCAATCAGAGCTAAAATAATCATCAGTTAACGCCTGCAGCCCTTTCTCACAACGTTAGTGAAGCAATAAAACATTACAACTGTTCAGTTCCTTTTTTAAATACACACTGTATTGTCTAAAATGCAATATAGCATTATTATTATATAGTGTGTGTTTGATCATTTGTAGCTAAAAAACATCAAAATGTGAAAATCTCAGCTCCTTCTGCTCGACTCATCAGAGTATCTGTTGATTATTTTCTGGATTAAACAATAATAATTAGGTGAATTTGGACAGAATTTGAACAAAGTGAAGTTAAAACTTGAATTCTGGTTTGAAAACTTTTTCAAACAAACAAGGACTTTTTCAAATGCATTTTAAATGCACATATATATTTTTGTGTTCATCTTTAGCTTAATTCTTGCTCTGAATGTGTTGTTCTTTCAGCAAAAGCCCTTTTTTGAGTGTATATACTCAATGATTAATTGATTACTAAATCAGATAACTGAATAATCAATTAATCGGATTAATCTGATTAATCGCTTCAGCCCTACATTCAAGATCTTCTGGACTTGAAGTCTGAATTTCTAACCAAAGTTTTTTCCAAATTTACAATTTTTGGTTATATTTATAAACAAAAATCAGTTTTAGCACCACAGAAACTGAAACCTGATTCCCTAAAAGAAGTAAATTAACTCCTGGTGGCTTCAGCTAAAGTCTATTCAGCCTCTGAAATCCTGTGAATCTGTGTTTCTGCTATCAGAACAGACACCGAGCAATCTATTTTCTGCTCTGGCTCACAGAGCTGTGACAGCTGTGTGGGCTGACAGCACGAATGCAGATCATGCATGCAAGCAGCAAGTACATGAGTATGCAATTATTAGTATGTTGTTATGCGAGGAAATCACTTCCAACAGCGATATTGAAGAGCAGCTATCGGATATAACATTTAGCTTTAACAGGCTGCATTTATAGAGCTGAAGTGTATTTAAAATTCATGTGTGGGCACATTCGCCTTTGTGTTTCGACTCAGCAACATATTTTTGTGTGTATATCATTTGCATATGTCACTCTGAATTGAAGTGTGGCCATGAAGAGAGCAAGATGGCGTCATGATGGCCCACAGCGGGTGATCTGTTGGATGTTGGGGGCAGGACCTCGTCCTCTGCTGCTGAATTAAACGGTGCTGACAGATCTCTGCAGCCGAAACCCGTCCCTTCAGCGATGAAAGCTGCTGGTTGTACAGGTCAGGGTTGGTTGTTTCTAAGCAAAAATCTCTGATAAAATGGCTAAAAATTTTAGTTGGCTTAGAGTCGCCGCCCATCTAACCTGCTACTTTTGCACAATTGGTCACAGAGGTACAGGTTTTTCTAAAGTTAAAAACGAACAAAGTTTTCCTAACAGATATCAAGTGGAGGCTCCTGCTAAAACTACGCTAGCACCAAACCCTAATCATAAACATGAGCTCAGATAAAGCTAAAGCTAACAGGCTAAACCAACATGCTAATGTTAAAATTCAAAGACTACAATTCGCAAGCACAATTTAATTTTTACATTATGATTTACATGTTCCATAATCTTCTTACATACTGCATTTATGTTTATGTCTTTTTGAATTTAGCAAGAAAAATTAGATCAGGGAAAGCTAAGTGCGCTAAATGTTTTCAAAGTTAGCTGAAGTGCTAATAAAACACAAATGAGCTTCCCTATTAGTGAAAGTGTGACTAACACTGCAGTTGTCTAAAGCTCAAACTAAAGCAATAAAAACAAAAATATGGTATTTTTAATGAAAACTAAAACTGATAAAATAGTTTTTGTTGGAGTTGTTTATAAATCAACATATAAAATATTCCTGGGAGCCGTTACTTACAGGATGTAGGTTATAACCCCGATACTCCTGAAAAGACAGAAATATTAACTTCAGCATGAAACATTTCTAACACCTGAGCATCATGTGAAGAAGTAAATTGCCTTTGCGTGAGATTTTCACCTGAAGCTCAAACATCACATCACATCCTGCTCATTCCAGACCAGCTGCTCGATTACTCACCACATGTCCGCCTCCAGGCCCAGAGGTTCATAGTTCACTACTTCTGGAGCTGTGAAGCCAAACAGAAGGTTTTTAATATTCAAGCCAACCTGCAAATCACACGTTCACTTTCCACCGATTCTCCAGATTCAGGCCTTTTGCTGCACATTGTCAGCTGGTTTTCAATCAATAATTTCTTCAGATGTGTAAGAAATCTCAGCAGCTCTTAAGCCTGAAACTGTAAGGTGTGAAAATGTTTCTTTTCTCTTCACACTTTCTCAGATGTGTGAAAAATTACAGATTTACTACGATCTCTTCAGACACAAATCTAAATCTAAGAATTAGATTTAGTTCATACTGTTGATCATTTTAGGAATTATTTACATTAGGCAGGTAAATGCAAACAATATCAAACTTCATTTTTGCCCAAATGTGACTCAGTTTCAATCTTTTAAGACTTGCTGTGAGGATGTAAACTCAGATAAAGTGATATCTGTGAATGTGTTTTTCCTCCTCATCTGAATCTGCACTCAGTTGCATATTTTATAAACTAATAAACACAAAACAATTAGTCTATAATTCATATGTGAAAATGACCAAACTGATAGAATACTGATGTAAAATGTAATCATGACTTAGAGATGTTTGTTATATCCTGATATGATTTTGATGCAAATTGCAGCAGGGGAAAGTATGCAAATGACCCTCATTCCTTCTTGAGTGGAGTGTTGCAGCCTCTTCATCCTGCAGTAATTAAGTTTATGTTGATTTTACACAGCCAGCATGCAGATGTGGCTTCAGCAATATTTCTGCTGATAAAAACTCACAGGCTGCCTGGTGCTGGAAGAGGCCAGTCAGAGGCTGGAGCCGTTGGCACACGGCCTATTTAAAGGCCAGATGGCGCCGCGTGTGTCTGTGGTTTGCATGTGAGATATTCCTAATAATCTCCCGTCTATTATCAGATGTTTGGTGCAGTTAGCACCTGCAGCGTGTTAAACCCCAGGGATGAAACGGGAGCACTGGGTGTGCAGTGATGCGCAGATACAAACGTGTTTACAGAAATCAGACTCACCAACAAACTCTGGAGTCCCAAAAATGTTCTTGAAATCATTTCCAAAGTCGATCTTGTGTGCTAGTCCAAAGTCGATGAGCTTGATGCGCGGGTGAGGCACTGAGCGGTTCAGCAGCATGATGTTCTCCGGCTGCAGCGAAACAACGACGGGTTAGAGCAGAACATCCAACTGAGACCAGTTAGAACTGGGACCAGTTAGAACTGGGACCAGTTAGAACTGAGACCAGTTAGAACTGGGACCAGTTAGAACTGGGACCAGTTAGAACTGAGACCCAGTTAGAACTGAGACCAGTTAGAATTGGGACCAGTTAGAACTGAGACCAGTTAGAACTGAGACCAGTTAGAACTGAGACCAGTTAGAACTGAGACCCAGTTAGAACTGGGACCAGTTAGAACTGAGACCCAGTTAGAACTGGGACCAGTTAGAACTGGGACCCAGTTAGAACTGAGACCAGTTAGAATTGTGACCCAGTTAGAACTGGGACCCAGTTGGAACTGAGACCCACTTAGAACTGAGACCAGTTAGAACTGGGACCCAATTAGAACTGGGACCAGTTAGAACTGGGACCCAATTAGAACTGGGACCCAGTTAGAACTGGGACCAGTTAGAACTGAGACCAGTTAGAACTGGGACCCAATTAGAACTGGGACCAGTTAGAACTGGGCAGCAAAGAGTCTCATCAGGATGCAAATGTTATGCAAAACATGAGACGGATCCTGTCTAGGAAGGCAGAGGTGGATTTTATACAAACCAAAACAACCGACTGTCGCAGTAATTATTTAAACATGTATGAGTTAACGGGTAGAAACAGGACGTTTGATTAAATGAACTCTAGTTTGACTTTACTGATTCGTTTCTGCTCAGCAAACTAAGATTAGATGATAACGATATCCAGAATATCAGCTGGTCCAGGATTAAACGTGTTCAGTCTTGCAGTTACGACACATTAAAATAAAATAAAAAGTGAGAACTCGTTTAAAGGAGGCGAGTTTATTCAAAAGAATCAGCAGATTGTTCAGATTTGCAGCTCTGCTCAGGGATTTCTGTGAATAAAGTTTTTTTTTTATCTAAATGAAGCTGAAACCTGAAGGAGCTCAGCTGCTGTACCTTCAGGTCGAAGTGAGCGATCTGCTTGGAGTGCAGGTAGAGGACTCCGTCCAGGATCTGCTTCAGGAACTGAGTGGCCTCCTCTTCGCTCAGAGACTCTTTCTCTGCCAGGAAGTCAAAGAGCTCACCCCCAGCAACACTAAAAACAAAGAGGAAAAGAGGAGAGGGGGAAGGATCCGATCAGAGGAAGCTGCAAATCCCTGAGATCCAATCAACCTGAACCGATTTAACGGCTCCGCGGTGGGAATGAATCCAGTTCAGCTCACTTTGAACTTTACAGCAGATAAAGAAAGATCCTTGATTAAAACAGCTTTTTAAAAAGCAAAATGTGACCTGGAACATGTTATGTTATCATTTCTAAAAATGATAACTGGAATAAATTAGCATTAGCTTAGATTTAAAATCTGTTTTTCTAACAGATTCCTAATTATTTCATCCAAAGACTTCAAATGTTTTTTATCTGATTATTAAAGAAAAATACAAATATAAAAAAAACTTAGGATGGATGGATGGATGGATGGATGGATGGATGGATGGATGGATGGATGGATGTCAGAGTGGAAAATAAAAGATTCTTCATTTGAATCCAAATCTGAATAATTAAAACCCAGATTTCTCCAGGCTGCATTTGAAGGCCAATTAATGTCTAAAATAGTTTTCATCATCATGAACATTTAATATTTAATCCTGAAAAAATGATTTTATTACAAAAGCAAATGAAACTTCAAACCTCAACATGAAATTCTTTTAAATCTTAATAAATAGCTGCACAGCTTCTCTAACAGGCGACCGATCAGTTTCTGCACACCTACAATCAGATAATCAATTCTCCTTCACAGCAGAGGCTCTGCTAATAAACCCACAGCGATGTAACATAATTACTGATGTTCATGAGAGCAGCAGCGATGGGAGGATGAGGAACAGGAAGTGATGAAGGCATGAGGACAAACATGCAGCGTGACGAAGGAAGCAGAAGTGAGAGCTGATGGCTGATTTAAATATTTTCACACTGACATGTTTTTGTCACCATATGTCAGGAAATTCACCCAAACGTTGCAGTGAAATTTAAAATTATGAGATAAGAATAATTTTTTAAGATGTTTCAGGACATAAAGAGCCACCAATTAATCCAGCAATACACAGAAACCTGAACAGATGAGGCCTGATGTGTGAATCCTCCCTCTACATTTACATACTAGAAAACCTCAAACTGATTTTTAAATATGTAGAGCAGAAATATTCATTGTTGCTCAGTTTTAGGATCTCTGGTTTCTTCTTGTAGGAGATAAATCCTGCTGTTGAACATTAAAGGGGCAGTATCATGTAAAATCAACTATTTTTAGCTTCACATCATGTCATGATGTTATTCCCTCATCAAAAACAGACTCGACTGTCGCCTTGATGTTTTCACGCATGTTTCAGAAATCCTTTAATTTCCATTAACCACGCAGCTGTGCAAAACGCCTTGGTGGACCGAGCCCCGCCTTTGAGACGCAGCTCCTCCCCCTTTCTGCTCCTTCAGACTAGCCAGAAGCAATTAGCAAACACCTGGCTGATCCAGCTACTTCTCAGTGCAATGCTGGTAAAAATGATGTAAGAAGATTAATAGAGGAGCCATGTTGTGTTTAGAAAGAGCAGGAGCTTCTTAAAGAGACAGAGGGTTAAACCCTAATCACTCAGCCCAGTTCTGAATCCATTAGAAAACCTTTGGAAACAGGTGAAACAGGAGAATCAATCATGGCTCAAAGCTAACTGATCTGCAGCAACGTCTGATGTTTTCAAGGTCTCATGGACCAGAATATCTGAGGAATGTTTCTGAAGCCACAAACCCAAGCTGCTGGGTGGGAGAGTTTAGTCTCGATAACTGATCATGGGAAAATATCTACATGTGCTGGATGTCAACAGAAAAAACAAATCAATTGCTGTCCTTATATAATCTACACGCTCCCATATTCCAGTTCTTCAGAGTCCAGTTCTCATCGCATGCAAGATTCTTTTACCAGCATCTCATAAAAACATATCGACACAAAAACAACTGACGCTGCTATGAGAAACATCTCTGAAATGCAACAGCAACAGAAAGCCATCCCAGGAATGCTTGGAAATCAGAGCGTTCGGTTATCAGACCGACTGACTCGACAAGAACTTGCGAGTCGCTGCATCAGAGAACCAAGAAGAGTTTAGTGAAATTCAAACATTTAGATAAACCGCTAAACACAAGAGATGAACTGTGACAACGGAGAACAAATGATGCAGAAAAAAAGACAAAAAAACCCCTAAATAAAATAAAAAGAAACAAAGACACAAAACTAGAATGAAACAAAGAAAGAAAGAAAAGAAGAATTTCAATTAATTAGTGAGAAAAACTTTAACACATTAAATTAAAAAAAAAAAATTCTGCAGAAGTCTGAATCATTGTATTGTGTTTCTGGTACACCTGTAAATATGTTAACTATCTTAATTAACATATTTAATTATCTTAATTATCCCTGTTAATTAAGGGATTCGGCTTTAGCACAGGCGCTAACGTCACCGTCCACTGGGCATATTTCTGAAACAACTGAATGGATAGAACATTTTAATGTTGGACAACCTAAATTACAAAATAAAAGCAATAAATATATTTGCTGTTTATCTTTAAAAGGAATGTTTTTGATTAAAATGTGAGATCACAGACCTTACCATTCCATTTTTATTGAATCCAGCCACTACTGATGATAAGAAAGGGTTTTGAAAATGAGCAAAAGCGTCAAACAAATATTTTCTTAAACTCTGAGCTGCTAATCTGCAGGAATTTCAGCCTCCACATTATTTAAACGCTTCGTCTTAGTCCATTTAATTCAAAACAAACATTTTAAAATGGCGTGCTTGTGCTGGATGATTGCCTCAACAATGGAACGGGCAGAAAGTAATCACGCCGCATGTTTTCCAGCTGCACTGTTGGTTCAGGCTGCCGCTGCTTGCAGGTGACTCAGCGATTCAAGTGTGCTGCGCTCTGCTTGTCGGAACAACCTTTTCCAAAGAAGTGTGTCAGCTGAAGTCCTGCGGAGCAAACATAACTGATCCTACGGTCTTTGAAGTGGCATGTGGGCTGGTTGGACTGGTCTAACTGGTGTTTGGAACAAAGAGGCCTCGTGCCACACAGCACTTCTAAGAGATCCCAGCTAAAGTCAATATTTTACACATAAATCCGTCCAACACTGGCCGTTATAACTCCTGATCAGACATTATGTTGTTTAGATAAAGGAAAAGCCTTCAGGAAATGTGATGTTTTCCTGTTAAACTGTCGTTGAGCCGTTTTACCCCTTAAGCCAAGTAAATAAGTGACAGGAAGTTTCTGCTCACAACTGAACTTGGTGGAGATAAAAACACCTTCTGACTCCAGGACTGACCAAACAGGTAGAAGAGTCTGTTGTTTCACAAAGCCAGAGATCATCAGCCAATTAAAAAGGACCAACATGTTTTATGTCCTGTTATTAAAATTAAAAAACTTCCATTGCTTAGAACAAAAGCCGGTCCTCTAAGCTATTTCTGGACTTAAACCCAACATGGTTTTCTGCTATGATGAGCAAAAACAAAACTTTACTCAAACTATTTCTAAATTTACTTAGAAGGTAAATTTGTAAGACTCAAAATTAAAATAGTCATGAAAAACACTGTCAGTGTTGCCTTAGCAATAGTGCTAGCTGCGCCAACAAAACTAACAATTACTGTAGCAATGGATAATTACATCAAATATTCTTATGATTAATCGATTGTTCTAACAATCAATTATTGAATAAAACGTTGCCACATTAAAAGATGCAAGTAAACAAATGATTCAGTTCCTTGTTTAAACATTTGTTTTGCCTGAAATGCTTTCCTGTAGTGAACTCTTTTCTATTTGCAGTGAAGTGTGAAGCAAAAACAAGAATATTTCTAACATCAACATGTGAAACATTCTAAAAAAATCATTTTTGCAGTTTTGTGTTAATTACTGCTGTGTTTACGTTGTGAAACTAAAATAACTGTTAATTTTCTTGGCATGTGTGAAGGGGAACCGGTGAAAATGTCTTTACAGATAAATTGATTGTTGGTGTTCATGAGGAGGAGCTACTCACAGTTCCAGGATGAGGATGACCTCAGCTTTGCTCTCAAACACTTCATGCAGGGTGATGACGTTCGGGTGCTGGATCTCCTTCAGGATGTTCACTTCTCGCTCGATGTCTTCCTTCGCCACGCCGCGCCGACCCGACTTGTTGCGCCGCTTTTTGATGAATTTGGCGGCGTACTCCGCGCCCGTTCGCCTGTGCCGGCATCGTCTCACCACGGCGAACTGACCGCTGTCGACGAGAAATGAGGACGTTAAACTTCCTGCTGATGTTGAAAATGTAACTAGAAAAGAAATTTATTATATTTAGCAGGATAAAAACACCAAACAAAGAAGAGAAAGCAACACGGGAAAATTATAATCTGATAGCTTTTAATCAGAAAAGGGTGAATCATATGGTGGAAATCCAATAATAAATCAAACTAATCAGTTTATTAGACACACCCAGAGTGATTTAAATGCTCCACAAAAGCACAGTAACAAATAGAAAACCATTGGCGGATATATGAGAGTTTCTGGGTGCTTCCCACAGATTTCTGAGCCAAAGGGAGTGGGAGGAAAAATGAGGCACTGAAAGTGTTGATCAGAAACAGATTTAATTAATAACTGGACGATGAATCATGGCAGCGCCGCCTGGAATCAGAGAACGCAATAAAAGCCGAACCACAACATCAATACGGATTGAGATGAACGTCAGAAAAACTTCTGGTTTTTCCGCTTCCGCCCACCAAACGATTCTCAGGTTGAATGTGAAAAATATTTGTTCTGTTTGGCTGAAATTTCATATGTTTGCCACAATAATGAGCATAAAAAACAAGTTAGAGGTGAGAAAGCTCAGTGATAAATAAAAACATGCAGATTATAATCTACACAGAGTTCACCGTTTCACCGCTGGAGCTAACGATTCAATTAATTAATTATTCTGGAAATTTATCAATTAAAGAAATAAAAAGCTTACTTATTTTATGCAATGTTGTGAAAATAAAAAATGTATTTTATTGCCTGAACAAACAGTATGCTAACCAGGTGAAGCTAAAACATCTTTATAAAGACATTTTTTTATCTTAAATGAAAAATTATGTATATTTTTGGACAGTTTGAGCTTAATTACTACTTTGAGTTGTTTTTCCAGAAAATTGCGTCTTTTAGTGTGTATGCTGCAGTCAATGATTAATCGATTACTAAATTAGTAATGACATGTTAGTGGCTGATGACTGCAAAGTAATCCACCAATCCAGAAGCAGCTTTCCTTTTCCTTTGTGCTGATTGGCTGAAGCCCTAAGAGCACAAATAAGGGAGCTAACGGATGTTAGCGCCAAGACAGTTTCCATTGTGAGCATGAATGCATATTAAAATATATCTGCAGAACCAGCAGAATAGGCAGTTGTGAATGTTTTTAAAATACAGCAGAAATCTGAACCAGACTTAAAATTTGAAGCGACTGATGAAATAAAAAACAGAAAACACTTAAACAGTTTTGAACTTTGACAGTTTAATGGTTATAAATATTAACCCATGAAATATTTTTGTGTTTACTGGGTGGGATTTTGTAAGTTCATGCCAGAAGAAGCAGTTTCTGGACTTTCCTGTTTCACTTCCTCATCGTTTTTCTCTTTTCTCTCTTTCTACAAACACTGGATGACGAAAGTTTTCAGGTTGATCTTTTGGTCTCAGCCAGTTCAATGTTGTTTACAGAGACTTCCTTTGTTGTTTATGATATTTATGTTGGATATTTAAAAGGTCTTCCAGTTCTAGTGTCAAATGTTGAGAACATGTTGTTTCCTTATTATTATGCTACTATGACCATTATATCACTTACAAATGGTCTCAAAACAACAATATTATCATTTATCGCAATGATGTTTGGGACAATTCATTGTCCAGAGACATTTGTTATTGTGACAGGTCTGTTAAGTGACACGTCCTTCAGTTTGTGACCTTAAGCAACATATGGGGCAACATCCAGCTAGCTAAATATTACATTAGCATGAAAATTCAACTTTATGAGTCAACAATAACTGCTCTCCAAACGGTCCTTGGCAATAGATCACACACTGTATACATGCAGGCTGAGCTAACCAAGGTCCACCTGACATTTCAGTCCTGGATTATCCTGCGTATGAGCAACAAAGGGGTTGTTATGGAAATTCTGTCGGCATTGTGGTCGAATCCCTCGTCTCATCAGGATAACGCTGACCGTGCCGTCGCTCGACCACAGCGCTGGCAGGAAAACCACTTGGGGAAGCGAGGACACTTGGCTGAGGGCTGTTGACGCCTCCGCCGACTGCGCCTCCTCACAGCCCGAGCAATCATGAAGCACTTAGTGTACCAAACACCCACGGAGGCACGGAGGGCGGGGGAGAGAAAATCAGACATTCTGGATCATTTTTCTCTGGTTCTCCATAATCATAAAAACACAACAGAGAAGCTTATCTGGCCCAAACCTCTCTCTACCACAATAACATCTCTGTCAGCGGTTTATCAGGAAGCTATTTGGTGATGCATGTGGCTCCGTCAGCAGAGCGAAAATGAGCTGGTTTCATCCTTTGGCTGTGAAACTGTCAACTGCAGAGGATCTGTGATGGAAAACAGAATCAAGACGGCAACGTATTTCACTGGGAAGGGAACGTATCCTCCTCTCTACCGCACAGCAGCGGTTACTCCAAACGCCGGCGGTTTTCATCCAATCGTAGAGCAAATCTTAGGCAAACTTTTAAAATGTTGCAGAGATTAACTGTGTTTTTATCTACAGTGTTTATCTACAAACCAATCAGGAACATCAGATGTTGACGCTACATGATAAACAGGAAGTTGAGGTTACTGTGACAAATCTTAGAAAAAAAGATGCTTGGACTAAATTTTTCCAGGTTTTGTGCCTCTGGTAAGGCACAGACCCTGCCAGAGACTGAGCGTTCATAACGTTTGAACTTATTCATGTTTCCATCTCTTTTTCACAATAACTCATTTTCCAAAACACTAAAGACCACAAGCAAGCATACAATTTTGCCACTTCCAACCTTTCTTTGTGCGATGCGTTAAGATGCGCATAAAAAATAAACAATGATGGAAAGTATGGGGCTACATTGTAGCCACAAAGTTTGTTCAAAATACAAAAAATCTGGAACTGAGAAAAAAAATTTAACTTATAAAAAAGTTTAAATTGAAAAACATTTTGAAACTCAGAAGAAACAAAAAAAAAGTCAAAACTACTAAAATTTGAAATTGAAAATCAATAAATCTGTTTTGTTTTGTGTTTTAGCAGCATTTTGGCAGCGCTGGAAGTTCTCCACACCGAAGCATCGCTGACGAAAATCTACCAGGAGCTGAAGGAACGACGCGGCTTTAAGGAAGTGACTCGTCCTGCGCCGGAGACAAGAAGCAGATACTGTGAGGAGGAAGAGGGAGCTGAGGACGAAGGCTTTCTCATGCTAATAACACGTCCACCCCCATTCAGTCTGGCCTCGGCCCATTGTTGCTGCAGACTGTCACTCAGGCCTTGGAGCAGATATGGACAGACATCCTGATCTGCTCCTTTCAGAGACAACAGCGTACAAGCCTTTTGTTCACACGGCTTCTTTGTAATTTAATACATTTACTTACAAATGCAGCTCTACTACTCTCATATCAAATTACTGAAACCTACTGAACTCATCCTCTGACTCCAAACGCTATAAAAAGCACTCCGGACGCTGCAACATGAAGAAATCCTGGTGCAAAGCTGCAATTAAGACATAATTGTGGTTAAAAATGCTGCTTGGCTGCACCAGCCAGCATAATTCATCTTTGGCGAAAACCCAACACCGAGCAGGTGGACAAAAGGACCGAACGGTCCAACCTCTGCTCAGCAGCTGGATCAGACTCCAGTGTCTAATCCACTGGAACAAAGTCAAACAGGAAATGCAACAACAGCAAACAAAAACTTTCCACATTCATGCAGAAGAAATGCGTCGACTGGGAAGTTGTGGAAAGTTTCTAATAGATGAAGATGAGTTTATAAACTCAAGTTAGTTTATTTATTCGGCACATTTACACCAAAGTGCTTCACAACAATCAGACAGACAAATAAAAAAACATAAAAAATAAAAAAAATTATTATAAAAATCAGCACAAAATACCAAAAACAAGCAACCAAGACGTAGTTAATTTCAGCTGCAGCGATTTCACAATAACTTGAATAAATTAACTGCTAACCTTTTTTTAACTGGTGTTAAAGGCCGAGAAAGTTTATGTCTGTTGCTCTAACAGGATTTTCCCCATAAAACCTGCTGCGCCTGGTTCTGAAGGCGCTGGGGCAACGCACTGAGAGTTAGTGTTAAAAATGTTAAAAACTGACAGGAAATTAGAAAATTTGACTGAGTTATTAAGTGTTCCTGTAAGAAACCATTTACAACAGACTCTTAAACGAGGCAAACACAATTAAATATGATTAAAATAAAACATTTATGGAGCTTCAGTTAAATCCTGATGAAGTAATCAACCAGTGGATCTTAAAAGAAGCAACGTCATGCTGGTCACATTTAAAAGTAAAATAATCAAAAGAAATATTACCTAAAATGAACAACGATGAATCAGCATATTGGTATGCTGGGGTGAAAAGTTCAAGTATTTGTTGTATTCTTGTGTTTGTCTCGATCTTCTCATTTTGATTAGTAAAGTCTGCAGCTTGGTGCAGCATTTTCATTCACATTCATCAACTACAAACCGAGTTTAACCAAAAAGTCTTTGTTGCCTCTGTTACTGGTTTAGAAAAACCCAATTTAAAATAAACAATCCTCAGCCTGGCGAGGGGGAAAGAAAGCCTGGTGGCCCGCCAGGCTTACGGTACACAGCCCTTGTGATACGTTTATGGTTTCCTTACTGCACCACATTGTGTGCAACATGTGACACAAAGCCAACGAGTGTCTGAAATCGGAGGATCCGGTAGGAACAAAAGGTTAAAGAAAAAGAAAAGGAATCAGAGGTGACATTTAACGGCACTCTGTGACATTTCAAAAGTGCTCTTAGACCTTAATTAAGCTCATTCACCAACCAGCACCTCGACAAAAGCACTTAAAACACAAAGCGTGTCTCTGGCCTCCATCGCCTGAATGTTACTCAGAGTTACGTAAAGTTCATGAATTTATTAAACTCTTGTCTGACTCCTGGATTAGATGTCAGGAGTCCTAAAGGCATTGCTTCACGATGGGAGGAAACCTCACGGCGACCGCGTCTTCCCTCCTGTTGGGCAACGTG